ATCGTTGACTTCTCAGTGCCTTTAAAATCACCCTGAACCGTTCCCCAGCTGCCCCGAAAGTTCAAAGCCATCTAAAGGGAACGGGCGATTCATTCCGGCTGAGTTCACCCCTTCCGAACGGCCCGGCCAGATGCCCCAAACCTGTTGCCGCCCCTCTAAAAGTTCGCGCCGGCCTGGAAATCGAGGTCTGTGGCCTGTCTGAGCACGAACAAACCAATCGCACCCGGCGGTCGGACAATTTTCAAGGCCGACCCTCTATCCCCTCCAAGCCATTCTCAAACAGGAATTGGCCCGCCAAAAGTTTGGCTCTTTCCTCAATGATTTCTGCTAGCCTGGTATTTTGCTTAGGTTTAGGCTTAGGCTTAAGCTTAGGCTTAAGCTCAGGCTTAGGCTTAGGCGTAGGCCCAGGTTAGGCTCAAGTTTAAGCTCCCGGCCTTTCTCAATCTCTTTAACGCAGCCTCAATTCCTTCCCAAGCCCCAAAAAGCGTACACCCTCCCCCACTCAGACATCTCGCCCTCTCCTTTTTGCGTGTGTTTCTGTCCCTTATTCAGCGTTCCTCTCCCTTCCCCTTCTTGCCCTTTTCCATGGCTGGCTGGCCGTCCAGTCCTTCTTCCTGCCGTCAACTTTTTTCGCGTCTAGCCGAACGGGCCGAATTCAGCCTAGCAGCCCCAGCGTAGCCTCGTGTGAACGGGGGGCTTTTCCAGCTTTTTTAGCCTGCTGGAGGTATTAAAGGTGAAGGGACAGGAGGGAGAAAGAGAGAGAGGGAGAGAGAGAGAGGGGAGGGGGGAGAGAGAGAGAGAGAGAGAGAGAGAGAGAGAGAGAGAGAGAGAGAGAGAGAGAGAGAGAGAGAGAGAGAGAGAGTGAGAGAGAGGGGGGAGTGTGGGAGTGATAGCGAGAGGTAAGAAATCAGTGGTTCTTACCTTCAATGGTTCTGTAAAAAGCCTAAATAAATTTCAGAGTCTAGAGCTAAGAGAGAGAGAGAGAGAGAGAGAGAGAGAGAACGAAGAGCGACGCTTAAGAAACTATTATGTATCCCCCCCACCCCCCCCAAAAATAGGAAGGAAAGAAAAAAGATTATAAAAATTTTTTTTAATCCAAGAAGAACTTCTACTTTTATTATATAATGGAATCTAAGACCGAGCATGGCTAAAGCGAAAAGGTCAAAGTGCAAGCCAACGAGAGAGAGAGAGAGAGAGCGTGCGAGACCACTAGAAAAGCCAGCCCAGCATTTTGTTTGTGAAACAGCCGGGGTGTGCTGGTGTGCAGTGCCCTTTCCAGCGATCTCGGCGGGTAGTGCGCTTGCACTTTTTCGTCTCAAATGGGGGGAGTGGGGTGGGGGTGAGAGAGCGGATGAACTTGAGAGAGAGGCCAGAGAGAGCAAGAGAAAGGGGGCGTGGCCTATTCCCGGGCCCAGCCACGCACAAATGCCTTTGCCCTTCCCCCCTTCACCCACCCCATCCCCCCAAAAACATTCGCAATCGCCGAACCACGATTTCGTAGATATCGAAAATCTTTGTATTGTTTTACATAGAACATATATATTTACTGTTCTACCTTCAAAATGAGATAATTTTTATCTTACACGCACAATTTCGATTGAAAAACCCTTTTAACGACGGGATTTATATATTTTATTTCTTAATTTTCTTAGTTTTTGGGATTCAAGCTTTATGCAATTTTTTGTTTATACCCCAGATTAAACAAAAATTTATCCAAAATTTCCAAATTTAACGTTTTTTTCCTTTCCACCACTACGACGTTTTTAGATATCTTACTTTTTATTTCTGCAAGAATGTTATTTGTGTTTCTTTTGGTTTCCACTTTAAATGTTGTCAAAAGTTCCCAAATGCTCTCTGTTAGCTTGCCGCTCAACTCCTGTCCGCTAAAACGCATTTTCCGCAAAGGAGCGCTGCTGGCTTGCCCTATCAGCCCAGCTTTTGGTTTTGGTTTCTCATCAAATGATCTCGGCTCGATCGCCCTCAAAAACTCCAAAGTTACTTCCAACGATGCTGAACAACAATTTTTTATCTTACCCCATTTTTTGGGGGTCCGATCGGGATCTGTTTTGAGCTATTTCGCTTATCATTCGCCTCGTTTTCTCTCTCTTACTCTCTCTCTAGCTCCCTTTCGCTCTCTTTCCCCTCTCTATTTCCAAGGACCCCTAAAGGGCAGCCGTTCTGCACTTTCTGGGGATCAACTAGCCAAATCAAGATTCATTTTTTTCAGGCCGATCGCCTACCAAAAAAGGAAGAAGATGAGCGAAGGCCACGTCTCGTCCTCCGAACTGTACAGATTACTATCGGGAAATGGCAGCAGCCAGGCCACCGACCTGCCGATGCTCTCGGCATTCACGGTGAGTGAGCGCGAGAGAGAGAGAAAGAGAGAGAGAGAGAGAGAGAGAGAGCGAGAGAGGGATAGAAAGAAAACTTTTGCGCTACCATCCTCAATAATCTCTGCTAGCATACGGTATTTTGTAAAACGGTTTTATTTTTAAGGGGCGTAAGGACAGCTCGTAGTTGAAGACACCACTAAATTCGCAAAGAACCAACCGATTACGCTATGCAAAACAATGTACAGGGTGTCCCAAAAAAAACGACCCATCTGGCACTTCGCCGTGTTATATCCAATCGGTCCCAAATTTGGACCAGAGGTGTATCAGACCCTAAATAACAACAATTTCTGACTTATAGCCCGGTAGCTACAGTCGTTCTCGAGTTAGAGCAAAAACAAACTTTATTTTCCATTTTTCATAGGGTTTTCCTGGAATTAGACCCCCTAAACATTAAATGAAAATGATCCGGAAGGCCTTCTTTACTGTCAGAAATTTTTTCCAGAGTAAAATAAATTAAATAAGCTTCGATTTAAGCGATTTTTACAACGCAAAACTACCTCAGTTCTTAAGCGAAATTAGGGATTCTTAGCCGGAAGTCGATGCAAATCGATGCAAAGTCCAAAAAGATAGCCGATAAAACTGTTCAGAATTCCGGGAAAAACAGTATTTCAGTTATAACTTTAAAACTGCTGTAGCTATGGGGCTGTAAGTCAGGATTATTGTTATTTAGGGTCTGAAACACCTCTGGTCCAAATTTGGGACCGATTGGATGTAACCCGGCGAAATGCCAGATGGGTCGTTTTTTTTGGGACACCCTGTATAGACAGGGCGAAAGAGAGAGAGAGATCTGCTCCCTGCTCCCTCTCAATAATCCCTGCTAGCCTGCCCCTCAAACCCCCGAATTTCAGACGAGCATCCCCACCACCCCCACCACCACGCCGTCGCTCTTCTCCCTATCCACCGACCCGAGCCACCAGATTGCTATACTTGAACTGCAGGTAAATAGTCGTCCCCTGCATGTCGCCATCCCTTTAAAAACCATTTCCCCAATTTCAACATCCTTTTTAGCTTCGCCTAAGCATGCTCCAGCAAATGGCCACGTTACCCCAAATCCCCACCACCATCGAGGCGCTCAACCTGCAGATTTTGCAGAATCAAATGGTGGGTCGGGTTCAGGCTAGGGCTTAGGCTTGGGCTTAGGAGTAGGAGTAGGCTTTGGTTTAGGCTAGGCTAGGCTTGGGCTTAGGCTTGAGCTTAGACCTAGAATTAGGCTTAGGCTTAGTACTAGGCTTAGGCATAGGCTTAAACTTAGGCTTACGTTTTCCGGATTCCTAAATGCTCTTTGCTCGCCCGCCCCCAATTTTTTTGAACCCACCTAGATCAATCGGATGCCCTTTTGGCTGGCTGTTTTCCAAAATAGCCGCATACCCCACAAACATTTCTTCTCGCTGCCCGGCACTGGGGCGAGAGAGAGCCAGAGACAGAGGGCGAGAGAGAGGGCGAGAAAAAGAGTGTAGGGGAAATGTTGTCACGCCGCTAGTGCACTTGGCCCCCTTGCCGTCCCCGCGCCTGGAAATATCTGCACACAACAACAATTCCCCTATGGTGGTGGACACGTCACGTGTGTATCTTTGTTGTGGAAGTACGTGGAATCGGGGTGGAGATGTCAAAAAACAAAGCACAATGATTACTAGGAAGTGCGAGAGTAGTTTGAGGGGGAGGAGAGAGCGAGAGAGAGAGAGAGAGAGAGAGAGAGAGAGAGAAAAAGACCAGGCTAGCTAGCGGAGGTCCTTTAGGACAAAGCAACCAATCCCCGGCAATTTATGGCCCGTAAAAGTTCATTCCTGATCGCCAAAAGGACAGGGCAGAAGCGGAAACCCGTTCTCGCCCCCCGTCCCCACCGCTTGCACTTGCTATTTTTCGGTCTGGCTGCTCTCTCTCTCTCTCTCTCTCTCTCTCTCTCTCTCTCTTTGCCCTCGCACGCGAATGGAAATTGGTTAATCTGTGCCCCAGGATTCGTGTTCGGCTGGGGTTGAAAATATTTACCCTCTTGAAAATGGAAATGGGATTAGTGCGACTGAAATAAGGGGGTTTTATACTTGGAAAAGATAGAGAGCTCGAAAATGTTGGAGAAAGTGCGAAGTGCCAGAGTGCATGAGAGAGAAAAAGAGAGAGCGATAGAGAGCGAGAGACAACATAATTATTACGGGTTTTTTGTTATTAACCGTGCTTTTTATCAGTTTCCCTCTACGCCTTCCGGGTTGCGGGCACCCCCCAAAATTTGGCCTGGCTACACAACACAACTAATGCCGGTTCTCTCCCACTCTCTCTCTCTCTCTCTCTCTCTCACCCTCTCTCTCATGCTCTCCATTTAAGGTAGTGTTGCCCTTTCTGTTTTCCCTGTCCCCTTTTTATGAAAAATCCGGCCCCCGCCGCCACAACTCGAAAATAACAAAATACGACCCGATTTTTGGGCCCCGGCCAAGGGGATGAGAAATGGCAGGCGGGCAGAGATCATTTGGGAAATCGGAATTCGAAAAATTGGATCTTTGGAAGTGCAGGGCTGGCAGAAACCATTTAGGAATTCTTTTTATGTCCAGGGGCAAGCTGGCAGAGATTCTTTGACAAATCAACAATTTCCAGCTGAACTACTCGACCAGCTCGGCGATGACCACCATGGCTCCCTCGGTTTCGAGCGGTTTCCTGGCGCCTCCGACTCAACTCTCGCGCTCGGTTTCTACCTACGAGGAGCTGCTCAAAGCCGGGCAAAGTATACCCCAGATTAAGGTATGATTTTGGTGATATCTGTATTTAGCTGTTTACTCACACTCTCTCTCTTTCTCACGCTCTCTCTCTCTTGTTCTCTCTCTCTCTCGCTTTCTCTCTCTCTTTCTCTCTCTCTCGCTCCACATTAAAATCTATAATTTTAGCAAGAACCCAGCAGCGCACTGCAACCGAAAAGCCCCGAAATTCGCCGCCGAAAACGATCACGAGCTAGCGCTGAGCCCCAGGTAATTTTTTGGTCCTAAAACATCGGAATTTTGCATAGATAAAACCTTTAAGATTCTAATTAACTCTAAAGTCTAATGCTCATCATTTTTAAGGTCTCAATCCTCCGGCAACTCTGCGAAAATGACGACGAAGACGAGGTCATAAAGCTTGCCCCAAAGCGCTCCGTCAGCTCCCTCCCGATCCCCGATGTATATCGTAAGCTTTAGAAAAATATACATGCTTTAATCGTTATAAGTTAACGGTTTTTGTTAGAAATAACTTTGTCATAATCACAGCACAGGAGATTTCAGCCCTAAAAAGAGAGCTCTCCCAAACGAGCCTCGGCACCCCGGCCGAGATGCGGGCCATGGAGCGTCGGCAGAAGGTGTTGCGGGAGGAAGACCTGCCGGAGAGTGTCGGACCCGACAGCCCGCTGAGGCATCATCCTAAGTATCTGGTGGGTACTTTGAATCCGGAGTTAAAATCGCTTACATGCGAAAAAATCGGATCAAACCTAAAAAGCTCTTAAAATCCTCACAGCCTTCCCAAAACCCAGTATATTGTTATCATTTCTAACTTTATTGGACTCCCCTTTTTGAGAGCTTTCGATTGGTATAATTAACTTTAAGTGAAAATTGCGCATTAAGGAGATAGCACGCTATAAGTTTGGCACCCGACACAAACTTTTGTTTTTGTGCATTCCACCGATTACGGCGATTGCCCTCTCCTTCATGCGTAACGAGTTGTAGTCCGTAGCCGCTGTAACTTAAAAAACCTGAGTACATACTTTCGATGCCCTTTTTCTGACAAGGGACCCGAAAAACAATTCAGATCATGTCAAAAGGGCAGATTTGTCCTTGCCTTTCTCGCTCTTTCTCGCTCTCTTTCGCCTTCTCTCTCTCTCTCTCTCTCTCTCTCTCTCTCTCTCTCTCTCTCTCTTGCTCTTCCTGTAGTTTGGCTTCTTTATTCTGTCGGCATTCTTTGCTAGAATGCCTGTCTTCTTAAGAGTTCCCGAAAAATCTCTGCTAGCTTGCCTAACCCTGTAACTGTTCCTAAAGCACCTCCGCTAGCTTGCCCAACTTCTTAAGCGCTCTTAAAGGATCCTGCTAGCTTGCCCGAGTTCCCAAGTCCATGAAACTAACCGATTTTTCACGTTTCCCACCACTCACGCCCAGTATGCCCTTGAGGCCCCGCATAGAAGAAGCCTAACTAAAGGGAAGTGCAAGGTTGGGAAACAAGCTTGGCCTTGGGGGAGGCTATTTGCCGTCGGTGCCCCCGGGGTATCTAAAGCGGCCCTCCGGCTCTACTGGGTGCAGCTGCCCTATCCAGCGGTTTGTTGAAAAGCGCCGTAAACAACCCAGAACTACCGTATCCGGGGGGAAGTGACGGGAAGGTAGGTAACGAGTTCTTAGGGAGTAATAGAGCATTTTTTGAAATTTTTTTAAAGAGGCAGTGACGGGAAAGAAAATGTTGAGCGAGAGAGAGATAGAGAGAAACAGAGAGAGAGAGAGAGGGGGGGAGAGATATTCTGAAGATATTTTGAAAATTTCCCAAAGGATCTCTGCTAGATTGCCTAGCCACCAGCTTTTTTCCTCAAAAATCTCCGTTCGCTTGCCTAGGTAAACCTGATAGATCCTCAAAAAGCTCTGCTAAGCTGCATACATTACGTCTATCCTTTCCTTAAGAATCTGCTAGCTTGCCTACCTATAGACAATTGTCCTAAAAATCATTGCTATATTGCCTAGTCATCACACCACGATTCCTCAATGGTTTCCCTAGCCATCTGTCATTTCCCCAAAAATCTCTGCTAGTTTTCACTTTCCCTACCTCCTAAATGATCTCTGCTTAGATATTTTGAGACAGCGCCTAAAAAAACCTTAAAACGACCTCAAAACAAGCAAACCTAACTTATCATCTCTCACATGTTCTCCGCAGTCACCCGCCGCCCTAATCCGCGGCTCTACGAAAACTAGTCATGTAGCGATGTCTAAATCCGGGGGCAGTTTTGGAGGGTCAAAAGTACGCAAGTACTACCCCCTCCGTTCCACTCCAAATAACACCCCGCGATGTCCGCTCGACGATCGCCTATTTTCGTGATTGCAAGTGCGGAGCCGGACGAAAAATATGGATGTGAAAGTGGCGAAATTTTGGGGTTTTGAGGTGTATTTCGGAATTTAAATTGCCGGGAAAGTGCACAGAGAGTCGAAAAGTTGGATGGCTTAGGCTTAGGCTTGGCTTTCAGCTCGTGCCTTCAACGTCCCTTTAAAACCCATATTTTTCAGCGCCAAAGCAAGAACGCCGGCGACTTCGAGGTGATAGCGGCGATGTGTTTCGCTAGCGGCTACATGCCGGACGAGATCAAGGAACGATATGCTCAAAGGTGGGCTTGGCATGCCGCAACAATCTCTGCTAGTCTGCCCTCTCCTCTTCCTCAACAATCTCTGCTAGCCTGCCCTCTCCTCTTCCTCAACAATCTCTGCTAGCCTGCCCTCTCCTCTTCCTCAACAATCTCTGCTAGCCTGCCCTCTCATCTTCCTCAATAATCTCTGCTAGCCTGCCCTCTCCTCTTCCTCAACAATCTCTGCTAGCCTGCCCTCTCCTCTTCCTCAACAATCTCTGCTAGCCTGCCCCTCCTCTTTTTTTTAATAGAATGGTCTCAAACGTCTTTATCAATTAATTCTTTCCAGACGCTCCGTCTCCTCCAGCCCCGAGGTCCCCAAAGCGGACACCGAGTGCCCGATGGAGGACTTCATCAACGGCGTCATCTCCCGCGAGCTGATCTCATGCGAGTAAAGAGTACTGCGGTATAGATTCACCTATTTCCCCAGGTTTATTCGCCCCTTTAATTTCCGATTTCCACAATACTTGTCAAATCCATCGGGTATTTCCCAGCCCACGGCCCGCCAGTACACAAATAATTTATACGTACACAGTACCCTGGACTTTGACCACAGTACCCTGCTACCTACAGTAACCTGTTAAACTTTGATAACCGCACCCAGATTTTATTTTTGTTTTTAAGTACCTTGGAATTATTTTTGTGTGCCCATTTATTTTCTGTACCCTCGTATGACCCCAGAAAGTTGACTAAGCCGAAGCTTAAGCCTAAGCCTAAGCTTCAACCTAAGCCTAAGCCTAAGTCCAAGCTAGCCTTAACCAACAATTTCGAATACAGTACCCCAGTTACACCGTACCCCCAACGTTTTCTCGTCCCACCCCTACAGTACCCCTACCCGAATACCGTACCCTCCACCTACCGTATCACAAATATGAAACAATTTTTTCGTGTTTTTCCACAGTTGATCCTCCCTAGTCCGATACCCCCTTTCCGAACAGTTCCTTTCCATTTATGTTTTGTCATTTTTGTGGCTCATACCAAAAAGATTCCGCTAAAACGTTGCTCGCCCAAATTGCAGATTCCGAATCCTTCCTTCTTCCGCTCTCATTCCAAATATTCTAGTTTTTTGCGTAGCTTTTCTATATTTTTTCTATTTCCCTGTTGTACAATTTGTAATTCAACTCCCTTGCCCCGTAGCTCATTTTATTTTTCGAATTTTCGTAAAATTTTTTTTGAAGATTTCCGGTTTGAAAATATCGAGTAACACCCCCCGCAGTCGAACCATCGAGTAGCCCCGCCCCCCGTCTTGTGTGTACGTATTTTTCTTCCGATTTTTTTATGCTTTCCTGAAGACTTGAAGTCATCTTTGATTCCTTTCTTATTTTTTGAGTGTGTTGTGTGGATGCAGATAAAATCTTGTCATATCGAACGATTAAACTGCAAATTCCCATGAGTGCGTGCATGCATTGGCTTAGGCATAGGTTCGGCTTAGGCTTAGGTCTGGCTTAGGCTTGGGCTTAATCCTAGGCTTAGGCTTAGGCTTAGGCTTAAGCAGGCTTAGGCTTAGGCTTAGGCTTAGGCTTAGGCTTAGGCTTAGGCTTAGGCTTGGGCTTAGCCTTAGGCAGGCTAGCGCTTAGGCTTTTAGGCTTCGGCTTGGGCTTAGGCTTATGCTTAGGCTTAGGCTTATGCTTAGGCTTAGGCTTAGGCTTATGCTTAGGCTTAGGCTTAGGCTTAGGCTTATGCTTAGGCTTAGGCTTAGGCTTCGGCTTCGGCTTCGGCTCTTAGGGTCAAAAATTATTTTTTTTTATGCTGTGCGTATGGTGTGTTGAGACAAGTCAAAGAACAAGAAATAATTGGAATGCTGATTTTTATTTTTTGTACAGTTTTCAATTGCTTCCCGGCGCCATCGTGGCCATCATTGAGTTTGCGGGTGCGGGCAAGATAACTGGAGAGGATGTGGCGGTGGCAGTCTGGAAAGGAAAATGTTTTGAGCAAATTGACGATTGGCCAAAATGGTAAAGTGTTGGCTTGGTAGTCACAAGGCCGAGGTTCGATTCCGGACGCCGATCATCTTGTTTTTGCTAGAAATCTGGCAAAACTCACGGCATTCATCGAGGAGTTGCTGGCAGAGGCGGCGCCGAGGGGCATCGTTGTGGCGGCTGTCGTCTAAAAATGATAAGTATAAATTGAACTTTTAAGACTGAGTTAAACGCAAGTGCAAGCCGAAGCCTAAGCCTAATTCGAAGCCTAAGCGAACCTAAGCTCCCACTTACCGTAGTAGTCGGGGCAGACTGGGCGAGCACGAGGGCCGAGATGAAGATGATGGCAATCGTGGCGGCGTTCATTGTGGAGGTTTTGAAGCTGTTGCGGAACTGATGCCAATGGGGAACCCGGCCAGTTATTTATATCCAGACCCCGGGGGTTCCCCGCAGTTCACACGCCTTTTCACGACTTGTAACTCTATTTGTGAGTGGTGTTTGGGGCGGGCGGTCAATTTTTAGCACACCGGCCAATTCACGCCGATGTCTGAGCGTCTCGGAGGAGGGTCTCGTAGAGCTTTGGGACTTTTCTGGGTTTTCGGTGAGGCGCCAGGGGGTTCTCACTCACTCTCTATCTCTCTCTCTCTCTCTCTCTCTCTCTCTCTCTCTCTCTCCCTCTCTCTCTCTCTCTCTCTCTCTCTCTCGCACCTACTCATCTTGCAAAAGCTTCTATTTTAAGTGGCAACAAACTTCTGCGACGTACGGTTCGGGCAGGCAGGCTAGCAGAGAACCCTAAGGACGTAGTCCTGCTTGTTTTATTAATTTTTTTACAGTAAATTCCTGCATATCTAAAATTTCGGTAATTGATGTGTAAAATTTGATACAGGGCCTTTTACCCGTTCGCGAATTCAAAAAAATTCAACATCCTGAATCTCCTTAATGCTTAATTTTCATCACGAACAAAGTACATCTCTCGAAAACCCGCAAAAGTAGATGCTAATTGAGCTCAAGGTGACCAAAATCCATCTAAAACACTCCAATTTTGCCCCATTTAACCAATTTTTTGATCTTTCCGGGATTGCGATACCCACCGGTTGGGTTTTCACGTTTTGCCATTTTGTGCCCAACCCGAGGAGGCTGATCAGAAACCGAAGCCGAGGGCCAAGAATAGGCCACCAGGTACCACCGATCGGAAAGCAAACAGCAAAAAATAGGAAAAGTTCGGGGTGGCACGCCTGTCGTTGCAAATCAACGGCAAATATACTCCGAAACACCACTCCCCAACATCCCGAACATATCATATATCTAAGGCTTAGGGTTAAGTCTGTGTTTGGGCTTGGGCTTAGGCTTAGGCTTAGTCTTAGGTTTAGGCTTAGGCCTCAAGATCCCGAACATATCATATATTTTACGCTTAGGCTTAAGTTCGTGTTAGGGCTTGGGCTTAGGCTTAGGCATGGGCTTAGGCTTGCGTTATGCTTAGGCTTAGGCTTGGCTTAGGATACGTTTTTTAGTTTTCTCGCTCTCTCTCTCTCTCTCTCTCTCTCGTATTGCATGATCAATCTTCATCATTTTATTATTTTCATAAAGCTCTGGACAATAAATTTCACAAACTTTAGGTGGGGAAGATCACAACATCGGACACGTAGAAAATATCAAGGAACCATCAAGGGTGTTTTTTGGGGAGGAGCACCTTGAGGAGGACTGGCCTTTTGGGGAATTGAGATTTAGCATTGTTCTGGGAGAAAGTGAGCAGGGGGGAGCGAGAGAGACAGAGGGAGAGAGAGAGAGAGAGAGAGAGAGAGAGAGAGAAAGAGAGCCAGAGAGTGAGGTAAAGAGAGATAGAGAGAGAGAGAGAAAAAGAGAGAAAGCGAGGTCAGAGGAATAAGCAAATTAAAGCATATCTCATCAATTTCCTTTAATCTCGACTCATGGGGTCCATTTATCAATGTGGATTTGTACATAGGCCGATTTCAACATTGTAAACATTAAATCGATAGATCGGCGATGTCGGTATTCCCTGAAAAATCGGGAGATTTGATAAAATTCTAAAGGGATAGTGGCGTCTGGCAGATCGTTTGAAGTTTAAAATTCTAATTTTCCCTTACTTTGTGAAATGGTCTAGAAGCCGTATCTCCGACCCGAGATGCTTGATCTGGGAACGGACGACGACGTACGACAACACCGGAAGCAGGTCGTCGGCACTCCACGTGTGGTTGCAGCCGGCGTCGGCGAATTTGAACACGCACTAAAGAGAGTTGGGAAATAGCCTTGCCTTTAAATGGTTGTATTTAAATAGTTTAAATAGTTGAATTAACTTTTCCACGGTACCTGCGTGATCTCCTCAAAGGTATCAGCCAGAATCGCGAGCTTCGTGGTAGGGTTAGCGTCGGTGGAGAGCTGCTGAAGGGCCAGGATAGCCGATTCGTAGAATTTTCGGCGTGCACAGGCGCGGATCTTAAAAATAGGAAGTGCTATCGGGAGAGAGAGAGAGGACGAGAGAGCGAGAGAGAGAACGAGAGAGCGAGAGTGAGCTAGGGAGAAGGAGAGCGGGAATGGGAGAGAGACCGAGTGTGAGATACGGCAAGGCAATGAGCTAGAGGCAGAAAGAGAGAGAGAGAGAGAGAGAGAGAGAGAGAGAGAGGGAGAGAGAGAGAGGGTGGGTGGGAGACAGAGAGTTAGATAGAAGGCAAAGTTCACCAACCAATGGTTTATCCAAATCCCCGACCGACGGCAGCTCGATGGGCCAGAGCTCACTGAAAAAATTTGATTAGGCCAAATTTTCCACCTCTTCCGAGCTCAAGAATTCCACTACACTCCAAAATACAAATCCAAATCATACCCACCGTGGCACTTGGAAATATTCGAGCAACTTGACGTCAGTATGGGCATTCAGGTAAAGCGCACGGTTCCAGTAGATGGCGTCGAGCTCGGCGGAGGAGAGGCTAAAGGGTGGACCGAGTGCTGTAGCCCAAGGTTACTGTAGATACCTGTAGATGGTGAAGATGATGGGCGAGACGCGGGGGAAGAGGAAGGCGTATAGGAATTCGCAGGCTGGGGTTGGGACCTCGATTGGTGGGGCTGGGTCGGGGCTGAAGTACGTTTGGGTTTAGGCTTGGGCTTAGGCTTTGGCTTAGGTTCGGCTTAGGCTTAGGCTTAGTCTTGGGCTTAGGCTTTGGCTTAGGTTCGGCTTAGGCTTAGGTTTAGGCTTGGGCTTAGGCTTTGGCTTAGGTTCGGCTTAGGCTTAAGCTTAAGCTTAGGCTTAGGCTTAGGCTTAGGCTTAGGCTTAGGCTTAGGCTTAGGCTTAGGCTTCGCTTTGGCTTCACTGCTTCCTTGATATACCAACCCAGTCCTTGCGGGCGAACCCTCCGGAGAGGTCCCGGAATCCACAGAAGCGCTCCGTTTTGTCATGCTCTCCGGCATAACCTCGTAGGGATCTTTTGGCAGGCTCGGGAAAAGTAGCCTAAATTTACGTTTCTTAAATTCAGGACGTGATCTACCTGATAATCTTGTAGTTCTCCTCGATGAGGCTTTTGAGCTCGAGGGTGGCTTGGGAGTACAACGCCGCATGGGTGGCCATGTTATTGTAGGAGCAGGTGAACAACTAAAAACAGAACTAGAAGAGAGAGAGGGAGTGAGAAAGAGTGGGAAAGAGCCAGAGAGAGAGACAGAGAGATAGAGTGAGAGAGAGCGAGAGAGATCCTTCAAACCCACATCCACGGTTCCATGGCACAACCTCCAAAGTGGGTGTGGCTCGTAGTTCATCGCCTAAAAATACCGTATGTAACGCTTAGTAGATACTTACGGCATTAAAATATTCATGCAGCATCACTCGGTACCCAGGTGTCCAAGGGGCATCGTAGCTGGGGATTTGCTCGAGGACCGGAAGTGCACATGGGCTGAAAAGGTATAGGCTTAGCTTAGCTTAGGCTTAGCTTCGGCTTAGGCTTAGGCTTAGGCTTAGGCTTAGGCTTAGGCTTAGGCTTAGGCTTAGGCTCAGGCTTAGGCTTAGGCAGGCTTAGGCTTAGGCAGGCTTAGGCCGGCCAGGCTTGGGGCTCAGGCTTAGGCTTGGCTAGGCTTAGGCTTGGGGGCAGGCTTAGGCTCGGCTTGGAGCCAGGCTCGGGCTTAGGCTTAGGCTAGGCTCAGGCCCAGGCTAGGCTTGGCTTAGGCTCAGGCTTAGGCTTAGGCTTAGGCTTAGGCTTAGGCTTAGGCTTAGGCTTAGGCTTAGGCTTAGGCTTAGGCTTAGGCTTAGGCTTAGGCTTGGCTTAGGCTTAGGCTCAGGCTTAGGCTTAGGCTTAGGCTTAGGCTTAGGCTTAGGCTCAGGCTTAGGCTTAGGCTTAGGCTTAGGCTTGGGATTTCACACTCAAGCTAGCAAAATTTACCCAGTATCCCGCATTTGTCCGCTCATCTCCTTCCCCTTCCGGATCCCGGAGACGATCTTTTGCCAAACGATTGCCGTCTCGGTGAAATTGCCTAAAAATGTAGGCTACAAGTTTTGAATTGTTATGCAAACCTCCGAGCTCGTCCTCCACAAAAATCTCAAACATTTGGCTCCAACGTTCGCTCGTAGAGGGTATATGGGTCGATTCGCGAAGGGATTCCCTGAAAATGGTATATGGTACAGAAAGAGAGAGAGAGAGAGACAGAGAGAGAGAGAGTGAGAGAGAGCTAGGGAGAGAGCACTAAACCTCAATACCAAAAAAGATAGGATTTAAAGGGAGCATGTCCGTTAGGTGAGAAATTTTCTTAATGCCTGGGTCATGGCTCACTCTCTCTTTCTCTCTAACTGTCTCGCTCTTTCTCTCTCTCTCTCACTCTCTCATTCTCTCGCTATTCCTCTCTCGTCTCTCTCACTCTCTCCTTCTCTCACTCCAAATAAACCCCTTACTCTTCCAAAAATCGCTCAATCAGATCCATATTCTCGTTCATCGTCACCCGTCCATCCACAATCTGCACCTCATCGTTGAGGACGTTTCCGGAGAACGTTCCGTGTATCGTCGCGTTGGGAGCGAGGCGAAGGGTTCCCTACTTTTTCCGTAGAATTGAAAACATTTTCCCTACCTTCCCGCTGAGGATACCGTAATCCTCGAAATTTCCCTCGTACTCGACGGAGAAGTTGTTTTGGTTGGCCGGACCGACGAGGCGTCCCGACTATAAATACGTTTTTATAGTTATAGTTGCGTTTTTCAAATTTTTATAGCTATGGCTTTGTTTTTAAAGTTTTTTTAGTTGTGGATTTTTTGTAGGTGCAGCTGCATGAGGTTTTTATAGGTTTTAGCCAACCCAAAAAGCTGCCCCTCCTACCGTAATCATGTCCTCTTGCCAAGTGCCCTCATGGTACGTGCCATCTATCGTAATTCGACAGCCCTGCCCGTGTAGTTTGTCGTCTTGCCACTCGCCCAGATAGCGAGTTTCTAAATACAAATCGGATTGAAATCATTAAAGTTTAATTTTACATAAAAAATCAAAAAATATGTTTCGAAAATATAAAATTTGAAGCCACGTTTTATACAAACTCTCACTTCTTGTCGTGTGCACCCCATATCCATGCCGTTTCCCGTCTTTCCAGCCTCCTGAAATGCGCATAATTTCTACTTTGCAAAACCGAAAACTACCCAGATATTGGCCCCGATCCCAGGTGTGCATGCCAAAACCATGCGGTTCGCCGTTGATGCAGTAGCCCTCATAGAGGTCGCCGTGGGGGTACCTTAAAGGTATTTTCATGGTCCCTTAAAGGTCTCAAAATGTTCAAATTATTTCTGCTAGCCTGCCCTCTCCTCTTCCTCAACAATCTCTGCTAGCCTGCCCTCTCCTCTTCCTCAACAATCTCTGCTAGCCTGCCCTCTCCTCTTCCTCAACAATCTCTGCTAGCCTGCCCTCTCCTCTTCCTCAACAATCTCTGCTAGCCTGCCCTCTCCTCTTCCTCAACAATCTCTGCTAGCCTGCCCTCTCCTCTTCCTCAACAATCTCTGCTAGCCTGCCCTCTCCTCTTCCTCAACAATCTCTGCTAGCCTGCCCTCTCCTCTTCCTCAACAATCTCTGCTAGCTTGCCAGTGGGCCTTCTGCTCACCTGATCCTCGCCAATCCACAGAGCTTCCCTTTCCGGAATACACCTTTCGACTCGGTAAGCTTAATTGAGAGTTTATTTCCTAAAATCTCAACCAACTTTCTCGGTTTTCGTCACTGGCGATCCCAGGAAGAACGAGGAGAACGAGGAATCCTTCTCCTCCGTGAAGTGCGGCACCGTAAGTTGGCCAAAACTTAATTGTAAGGGAAAAAATGAAAACGGAAGCTTTAACTAACCCATGAAATTTGCCTTCCTGGAAATGGCCCTCAAAGGTCGTGCCGTCGGCTGTACGGAGTAGTCCTCTGGAAACCATGGTTATCACTCAGTAACTATCTACGAAGAGTAGATATCTGTGAGGACACTTACCTGCCATGCGGCTTCCCGCCCCACCAGACACCGTCGTAGCTCGACCCGGCCAGGTCGGTGCTGCTCCCGATGAACTCGTAGCGGCATCGGCGTTTCTGAAATACAGGCTTGGACTTAGGCATAGGCTTAGGCTTAGGCTTAGGCTTAGGCTTAGGCTTAGGCTTAGGCTTAGGCTTAGGCTTAGGCTTAGGCTTAGGCTTAGGCTTAGGCCCAGGCTCAGGCTCAAGCCAAAGCTTTAGGCTTATGCTCGGGCTTACACTTATGCTGAGGCTTAGCTTCGGCGATCATTACCTGTGGTGCCGGCTTCTTCGCACTCCACTGCTCGCAAGCCGCCGTGAATTTGTTCTAAAACGGGATTAACTAATTCTCAAAAATAAATATAGGATTTTCTTCGCAGCATTAAATTACCCTATGGACATCGTCCCGAAACTCCACGTGAAGCTGCATTTCCGGAGCTAAAAGGCCGGTAGACGGTGGACCGGAAGTTGTATCGTTGTGTAGCCACAGTAGCTCGAGGGGCAGCATACGGTAGTCTTTTTTCTGGAATCAAGGTAAAAATGATTCTCACATGGCTTCTGATAGGCTGTTCTCTTCTCTTCCTCAACAATCTCTGCCAGTCTGCCTCGTCTGAAACAACTTACAGACAGCAAAATCATCGCATCATTGAAGATCAGGACGTGCTGGTATTTTTGAGGTAGTAAAGCCTTCGGGAGTATCGTGTTAATCTAAATTTCGATTTTAAAGGGGAAAGGACAGAAATTCGAATCCCCTAAGTTAAGATTTCAATACCTTTGTGATCTCTTTCCCCACATCCATCTGGAGCACCAACTTTCGGCCAGCCACCCGGAGAAGGGGGAGCTATAAATGGATTTTTAATAAATCTTACGATCAACGCTACCGTATTCTCATCGAGGGGCCGTGCCCAGTATCTTGCCGTTCGTTTCGCGTCATTAATGGCCTGGTTGGCGGCGTTGAGCTCTTTCTGCAGACGCGCAATGATGGCCTGGAGCTCCTGGCGCAGGTTGATGTTCTGGAAATAGTTGATAGATTCCTCAAAAAATCGCTACCACGCTGTTTCTTTGTATTTAGGGGAAAAATTCGATTTTAAAGGGAGTGTCGCAGACGGTACTTTAAGATTTCGATCTATTAATGCTTTCAGATTCTACCGGAATTCCTCAAAGATCTCTGCTACGCTATTCCTTTTTATTTAGGGAATCACACGTTTTTAAAAGCAGTGTGACCGACCGTTGCTTCATGGTTTTTATCCATTAATGCTTACAGACTTCCCAAAAAATGCCCATTATCGCTTCTACAGCTTCTACAACCAGTTCCTGCAAAATCTCTGCTAGTTTGCCCCCAATTTTCTTCCTTTCTGGCCCGATCGTGATCACCCGAATTCCGGGTGATTCCAACTTGCGGCGCCCTTTTCAACTTCGCCCGTCATCAATAAATCAGCGAAAAGAACACTGGACTCATTTAGGGGAACCCCGTTCGCTGCTTCGCCGGATTTACGATGTAATTAGGAGTGCATCGTTGCCCTGGCGGTTATTTTATGTTGAATTGGGAATTGGATGTGTCGTGAGCAATGATCGATGTGAGATTTCCTCAAAAATATGTGCTATCTCTCAATCTCACTTTCACTCTCTCCCTCTCTCTCTCGCTCTCGCTCTCTCTCTCTCCCTCTATCTTTGTCTCTCGCTATCTCTCAGCTTAAAACAACTCCACAATGCCGAATTCCGCATTTTTGGCCTACCGAAAACACGACGCGCCCACGTCCACCCCCCACGCAAACGCATTAGTCCATTAGACACTCGCACTTTTCCCGCCAGCAAAAATGGCCGAAAACGGTGCCTTTTAGCGGAATAACATTCCACAGGACACGCAGCACAAAAAGCACGTATCTGCCTAGAGGCCGCCGGGGCAGGCTGGCAGAGATTCTTTGGGAAATTCGGACTCAAAGAAGTGTTGGTAGACAGGCAGCCTGGTAGAACTTATTTGCGGATGTGGGTCAGAACCAGGGTAGGCGAGCAGAGATTTTTTGGGAAGTTAAGAGCTCTGGGCAGACAAGCAGATATAATTTTTACGGCTTTCATCAATGAGCAGGGCAGGCTAGCAGAGGTTCTTCACAATTTCATTGCCCTTTGGATCCACTTCCCACCATAGCAAGTTACTATGGCTAATTTTGCGAGTTTCGGGACGTTGAGACCTCGCCTAAATTTTTCAAAGACCCCCAAAATCGGCCAAGTATCCTCGGAATGTGTCTAAAAACATGCAGGCGAACAGCGTTCCAAATCGAGGAGGTTCGAACCGGTCCTATTTACAGGCCCCACCGAGTCGGTGAACTCCAGGTACAGGAATTTAGGTATGAAAATTGGATCAGAAAATACAAGGTAGAATGAAATCACTATGAAAAACGTAAAGCCAGGCTTAGGCTTACTGTAAAGTGTTTTTACTCAACTTGGAGTTTCGATTCGGGACCAAGCGCATCTTGTGCAGAATTTTTCGCTGATTCCGCCTATGTTTTCCAAATTTGCTACGGACCGTTATTCTGAAAGTTATACGGCAATTATGACCCTAGTTTTCACAAAAATGAAGGTATCGTTATAGTTTTCGATTTTCTTCATTAATTGGACGTCAAAATTGACTAGGCGTTGGCTCGACAAGCATCCTACAGCTCAAAACAAGCATTTTAGATAAAAAATGAGATTTTTATGCAAAAAGCAAAAGAAATGATGCAGGGCGGGGTTCGAACCGCCGCCCTGCGCTTGACAAGCGAGTACTTTGCCAATGCACCATGGTGCCAACTGGGTCCGGTGCTGTCAGAGGGTACTTCAGGGCCCCTGGGAACCATAGTGCCAAACAAGGAATTATGGGCCAGCGTCTGAATTTTTGGCATTTTTCGGCCTAATTGTTACCAAAAATGATTTTTTAAATAACAGTCCGTAGCAAATTTGGAAAACATATTCGGAATCAGCGAGAAATTCTGCACAAGATGCGCTTGGTCCCGAATCGAAACTCCAAGTTGAGTAAAAACACTTTACAGTTAGGCATAGGCTTAAGTTTAGGCTTAGGTTTTGCAGTGTGCTTAGGCTTAGGTTTAGGCTTGTACTTAGGCTTGGGCTTAGGCTAGGTTTACACTTACAAGGAGTGCCTTTTGGGTGTCATCGGCAAATCCCTTCGAGACCTAGCTCATTCGATAGAGAATTGAATTCTGAACAACCTCTCGGCGTCCATTTTTGCAGAATGGCTTTTCCTGATGTTATAAAATTAAAAAACTAGAATGCGCAAATCCCATAGTTCCTCGGTTGCTGTCGCCAGACAAGCGCCGAGCGGCCCTAGGTGAAGAGCCCACGGGTGCTCCCTCACCTAGCATCGCCGATGGCGCAGCGGTTAACGCATCTGCCTACGAAGTTTCGTTTTGCCTTTGGTTGAAGGTTCGGTTCTTTTATGCGTGTTTCCTTTTGCGTTTTGAGCCTTGATGATATTTCCACACCTTTTAGGTATTTCTGGGTCATGGTGGAGGCATTAGCAACGTTTCCACGTTGGGCTAGGAGAAAAAATCAGGACATTTCTCTGGTCAAAATTTTCTCTGGGTCTGTGAAGGCCAATTTCAATTATTCTGATTCTTAAAACGCTCTGAAAGTCACAAAAGTGTTTTTACAAAACAAGAAGCAAAAGTAATTACCAATAATGGAATCGAACTAGCAACCCGAAGCAAAAAAGTTTGGAAGACCGATGCTCTAGCCACTGCGCCACGTCTAGCGGTGAGAAGAAGGGACCGGAGGGCCTCTTCCCCTTGGGGGCTGGCTCGGGGCAGCAACGTGCCGACGTGGACGCATAAATTATCTTTTTGGTTTTTTAATTATATAAAATCAAAGAAAGGCATTCTGCAAAAATGGACGCCGAGAGGTTGTTCAGAATTCAATTTTCTATCGAATGAGCTAGGTCTCAAAGGGATTTGCCGATGACACTCAAAAGGCACTCCTTGTTAGGCTATGGCAGGCTTAGCTTAGGCAGGCTTAGGCTTAGGCTTGGGTTTGGGTTTAGGCTTAGGCATAGGCTTAGATTTGTCTTGTGCCTGGTCCCTATATCGGACTCGTTTTCACAATAGTGCTTCCCTGACTCGTGACCAGGGTTGTTCACCGATGGACCCGGATCGGTAAGGATCCGGATCGGATCTGGACCCGGATCCGGATCGGATCCGCAGTCGGATCCGGATCCAGATCCAGATCCGGATCCGCTCGGATCCGGATCCAATGCGGATCCGACGAAAAAAGGGACCGGAAGTAATATTCTCGATTCTGATGCTGATTCGGTCATGTTAATCGCAAAAAATACATAGTCCAGAGGCAGAACTGAAATTTGCATCGAAGTATTAGCATTTAACTCGGTTGCATGATCCATTTCTTTGGATCCGGATCGGATCGGATCCGCCCTGGATCTGGATCCGGATCCGGATCCTACGGCGGATCCGGATCCGGATCCGATCCAGATCCAGATCCGGATCCAGTCCGATCCGAAAATGACCAACCCTGCTCGTGACCATTGTTATGGCTCGGATTCTTCGCGAGTCTATAGATGGGTTCCTCGTTCCGGCTTTTCGATCCAAATCTGTCACCCCGAATCCACTTATCACTCCATTGCCCCCCAACCCGCGCACCCGCAAATAGCCACAACACGCCCGGGCACCCATTTTGTATCACATCATTGTTGCGGTTGTTTATTTTCGTAATTTTTGTGGTTTTACTAGATTTAAGAGCTCTTTGAGGATCAATAAAGTCCCTGTCATGAATGCATCGATTTAAACACCCGATGTTTGAGCTTTCCTACAGGATTTCTGCCAGCTTGCCTTACTTTCAAGGCATCCAAGAGCTTGTATATGTTTTAGAAAGCTCGGAAGTGATGTCCGCTTCGCTATTTTATCCTTTTCCAGGTGTTTAAAAGTGCATTCCAGCTAGGGGAAAAGCTGGGATATCCTTAATGCCCAACACTCCATTATTGCTTATAATTGGATTAGTCTTAGACTTAGGCTTAGGCTTAGCTTAGGTTTACCTTGGACTTAGGCTTAGGCTTAGGCTTGGGCACCAAGCACACCCCACCCCTATGAAGCAAAAAAATAGAATTTGGGCTGCAGACATGCAGGTGCTTCGTTTCTTGCTCGGCCGCCACCCTAATCCCATTTCGGTTCGCAACGCTGCGTTTGAATTTGTGAAAGGCCAGCCTGAAAAGGCCTGACCTTTTTGGGTTTGAACGGTTTGCAAATAGGGGAGTGAATGGATTTTGTGAATCGTTTTTGGAGGTCACTTGCCGGGTTGAGAGCCGTGTCGGCTAAAAATACACGGCTTTTTAAGGGTTAAAATGGGAATAAGAAAATTCTTCCATTCAAGAACGTTTTTCGCAATTTATTTATTTGTTAAGAAATTTTTTAGCCCAGAAAAACCCTAACCAAAAAAAATATCACTTTCGTCTCCCCCACCCGGCGCGTCCGAACAATAAATGGAACGGAATTTTGGGGGGTGAGGGCTCAAGGTCGATCAGGTTGATGTTGGGGGGGATATCAGCGGCCAGAGTATCCGGATCCAATCCCGAAATAGATTCGTTGATAGGATGGAGATGTACTTTTTTCGGTACGGGAATTTATGGCTGAAGCTCAAGCTCAAGTTAGCTCAAGCTCAAGTCGGACTGAAGCCTTGAATGCGGGCTTCGGGCGTGGATTCATAAATTCCCAAAGGATCAGTGCTGGGACGCCGAAATTCGCCATCAAAAATCGCTTCAATGTTCCTTTAAAAACCAGAAACTTCCCGAAAGGTCTCTGCTAGCTTGCCTAGGAGCTTAAAATTGGCCTCCCCCGTGTCACGGGCTTTCTCGTCGCCTTTAAAAGATAAAAAAGTTCAAAAATAATCTCTGCTAGCTTGCCTAGGAGCTTAAAATTGTTTTACGCACTTTCTCAAACCTTTAATTTGCCTTTAAGGGACACAAAACATTGCCGATGCTTTCGACATTTTTATCTCACTTCAATGCCCCTTTAACCTGTCAGTGTCCGAAATAATTTCTGCTAGCTTGCCGACGTCATAAAGTTCATCAACTGTACGTACAAACCCTGTTAAACCCGAAAAAATGCATTAATAGTCCCCCTCCTCCCGCTAGTGATCTCCGAAACCCCGAGGCTACCTCGGTGCCTAGATTCTGGTCATAATTGTCCAGTTTTTTGGGGGCGATTAGCTGAGCAGAAATCGTGAGCGATTCATCAAAATACTCCCTCCTTCTCCTCCCCGCACTGAGCACCAAATGCTCGTGATCCCCGCCTGACCCCCCCGCACACACTCACAGACAACGATCCGATACAAACCTATCAACACCCCGCCGTTTTGGGCTATATTTAGAATGATTGGGAGGGGGAGAGATCGGGTAGATTATTGAATTGGTTTAAGGGGTTAGGCTTAGGCTTAGGCTTAGGCTAAAGCTTCCGATTCGGTTAAGCTTAGGCCTAGGCATGGGCTGATGCTTGGACATGGAATCTGACCTCGATATTTGCTTAGGTTTGCCTTGGTATCGAGCTCCTACTCATATACTCTATCAACCAAAATAATTGGGTTTAAGCTTGGGCGTTACCCTGGGTATCGACTTCAACCCTAAATAACCCCCGATAAAAATCGATATCAACCCCCACAAAATCACGCGCGTACATTTCCCCCGCTTTGGGTGCACTTCCCGGTGTCAATTCACGGGGGGTCTTCCCCCGGCTGTCCATAGGAGCGCCACGGACGACGACTTGTCACCTCGATTCAGCACCCCAGGGCTCACTCAAAGCCCATCCCGCCAAACCCACACAAACCACCACCGCGTGATATATCCATCCTTATAGCCTTAGACACGCTCCGCGCCACGCCAAAATACGCCCGATATCGGCCAGATCACAGCCACAGCGACGAATTGAGACGAAAATGGGGGTTTGGTTTGACACGCGGGAAGATTAGTCATAGGTTTCGGATTTGGTATTTGGTATGCTTCACCTTAAAAGCTCGAGCTCAAGCTCTTAAGCCTAAGCCTAAGCCTAAGCTCAAGCCTATACTAAACTCGGCACTAGCTTAGTCAATCTAAGGCTAAGCCTAAGCGTAAACCTCCGCCCAAGCCTAACTTAAACCTTGCTTGATCCTAAGCCTAGCCTAGGCCTAAGCCTAAGCCTCAGCAGGATCATTGTGATCAGGCATCGACATTGAGCTTTTCCTTGACATCGCAGCTTCACGTTCGCCTCTAACGAGCCAAAAACCTCGAAATTTACAACACTGCGATTAGCGCGCGGATCTAAGGAACCGCGGCTGTTCCCACCATCATGTCACTTTTGTGGATTGCTATTCCGGGACTTTTTCTCGCCGTCGCGGCGAGAAAGAAGGGCGGCCAGCGCGGCGGGGCTAATTTCCTTGTCTAGGTCTGGTCGACGGGGTGATATTGCTCTTATCGGAAAATGGGGGATTTCAGGATGAACATCTTTTTCGAGGTCTAGGCTAGACTAGAGTGGGTTCATTATGTCTATGTTAAGCCTAAGGCTACGCCTACGCCTAAGCCTAAGCCTAACCTAACCACAAAAGCCCCTAAGCCCCTAAGCCCCTAAGCCCAAGCCTAAGTCAAAGCCTAGGCCCAACCCAAGCCTACGGCTAAGCCTAAGCCCATTTCAGGCTAGGGCTGTGCGTAAGTAAAACGCAAAAGCACTCAAACACGAGAACCAAGCAGCCTCAGCCCAACTTCCGCGACTTCCAGGTTAAGCTTCAGCTTTTCGACCTAAGATGAAAAACTGTAATCACAATTTATAACCCCTTTTACGTGAGCCACCCGACCTTTTTTCAGCTTAATCAAATCAACCACACCTATTCCGGCACGATACCATCACTCATCTCCCACCCGCCACGCCCTGATCCTGAGCGAGAACATCCACTGTTTATCCACGCTCATCCTCACATGATCTGGAGCTGGGGGCGAGGCTTTTCGTTGAAATCCCTGTCCCCCGGAGGCGAGCACCAACTTTGGGCGCCTATTTTCGATTCGTACGACGTGTCATGTGAGCCCTAATTATCGACACCTCCTTCGGGGTGGATGGAAAGAGATGCCGTGATTGGCGTCATCAAATTCCACACGCACCCACTAATCGGTTCACCACGCCGCCCGATTTATTGCCGTTCGGCGAATCGAGGGTCGAATTGAATCGAGGTGCTGGGAATAAGCTTATGCAGCTTAAACCTACGCCTGGGTCAAAACAAACGAAGAAAATATCGACTTCGAAGCCTAAGACTATGCCTAAGCCTAAGCCTAAATATAAGCCTAAGCCTATGCCGAAACCTAGAGTCTGTGTGAGGTCATTAAGGTTTTGAAGGGGGAGAGGGTCCATAGTATATGGCTCATAGGTTTTCAGGGACGAGCAAGAAGCCAAAAAGAAGCTGCTCTTTTCCACCAGAACTCCAAGCTGCCCGAATTAGCCTATAAAAACAAACATCGCCTCCCCTAAAACCCCACCAAATTCCAGGGATTCCACGACGGTGTAGAACTCGATAAGAGACGTTCCAAGCAGCCTCGAAATAGCGCCCGGGTCCGAAGTCGTCATCACGCGCACTCGCTGCCTTTCCCCCCAACCGTCGATCCGTCATAAAAAGGAGTCGGACCCTGTTTTCGGAAAAGGGGATCCTTTGGGGTTTTCTTTACAGGGGGAAAGAAGGAGTGGAATGGAACGGAGTGAGATGATTGATCAGTTGAACGGAGTATTGCTGGAATGCCAGATATTCCACCCACGACAGCCCCACCACTACGTGGGGAGCCTGACTTTGAGAACGAGGCGGTGGTCGAGGGATTGGGATAAGCTCGGCTGCTTCTAAACTCAGCCTAATCTAAGCCTAAGCCGAGCTCAAACAAAGCCCAGAGTCGCCTAAGCCAAGCCAAGCCGAAGCAAAGCCATAGCGAAGCCTTTCTATAGATTGAGCGACTTCGCCGAACTGCTCCAACTTGATGTCGCATTTGGACGGGGGCTAAACCAGCTGAAGGTTGGGCTTAGGTTTAGGCGTCTTGCTGAGTCCTACTTACGCTTGCTTCGACTTAGGCTTCGGTTCGGCTTAAGCTTAGGTTTAGGCTTAAGCTTGCACTCACCGGTCTTCTTTGACGTCACCACAGATCCCAGATTCCTGGTCCACTCCCCATTAATGGCCAATTAAAGGCTACGCCACTCTACGCAACACACCCACGACAAAGTCCACCTCATTTGTGATCGTCTCGGGCGATGAGTCTCCAAATGCGGCCCGGGACAATTTGGGCGGCTCCCCGGCCCTTTTACGACAGCCCGGCTTTATGGGTTTCTCTCGTACTCAACCCGATGCTCATCTTCTGCACCCGCACAAAAACATTGCCCCGCCATGGCGTTGTCGCACGGCTATTTGCCGAAACGGGTTTGCGTGCAAAAATTACGGAAAACAACTGTTTCAACGTTGTTATTCTAGGTGTTTTTTTCAGTGTGTTGATGTGCTTATGACTAGGACACACTTTAGACCCAGTTTCGCGGACGCGTCGACTGAAACCTCGACTCGAAAAGCAGCCCAGTTAGCTATCTCCCTGCAACTGCATCGACTGAAACCTTCAAAAGCCATGCCCACCACCACCCTGCTCGGGAATGTGCCTTCGGGGCATTCGCGGAATTTTGATGGGATGATCCAATCACGCACTCTAGCACCAGTCGCTGCAACCCCCCTGATGATGACGACCCCAGGGGACAGGTGTTCCGCCGACAACTCGCATACCATAACCGTCACAACATGGCCGGGGAGGAGAGTTTTTTTTGGGAAAAAATAGGGGTTCGAAAACCTCCTTCCCCCTGAGGAAGTGGAAGCAGCGATTCTTGGCGAACGAACCGTTTGGGCTAGACAAACTAGCGGAGATTCTGGAGGAAAAATTCATTTCGCAGTTCCCTAAATACCGTAGGCTTGGGCTTAGGCATCGGATTCGGCTTCAGCTTAGGCTTAGGTTATAATTAGGCTTATGCTTAGGCTTCAGCTTTGGCTTCGGTCTAGGCTTAGGTTCGAAGCAGGCTTATGCTTAGGATTATGCTTAGGCTTAGGTTTAGGCTTTGTTTATGTTTCGGCTTAGGCTTAGGTTTAGGCTGTGGGCTTAAGCATTGAGAAAACCGTGAACCCACGAATCGCCGGCGGGCTTTTCTCGAGGGGGGCTAAAAATTGACCGTCGCCGTCAAATGTGGTGATGCATTTGTCTGGGGCGATGGCGCCGCGGAATTGAGTGGATGGGCGGTGATGGTGAGACCAAGGCCGTCCGCCAGGCGCCTATCCACGCTAAACACGGAAAAACAAGGAATACCCCTGGGCTTATCATATTAACTGACCCCTGGGAGGTAATCTGGTATGTGCCCTCGGGATGTTTGTGGAATTTTGGGACTGAACAAAGCCTAGGGTTAATCCTAGCCTGAGACTGATCCTAAGTTTAAGCATAAGCCTAAACATAAGCCTCAGCATAACCCTGAGCTTAAGCCTAAGCTTGAGCCTAAGCCTAAGCCTAAGCCTAAGCCTAAGCTAAGCCCAAGCCTAAACCTAAGCCCAAGGCAAGCTAGCAGAGATCATTTGCGAGTTCTGGCTCATCAAGTCCAAGCTTACAATTAGGGCATACTAGCAAGGATTACTTGGGAAATTAGCACAATGTTTTTAGGGCAGGCGATCAGGGATCATTCGAGAAAATTTGAAAAATCCGTATTTTGACCAAACCCCTCGAAGGGGAAGCTAGCAGAGCGCATTTGAGAATTCAGTATTTCTAGCGATGGACCTAGGGCAGGCTGGCAGCGATTGTTTGGGAATATTTATGCTGAATTTTCTAATCACATCGGGTGAGCGTTACTATAATCCCAAATCGATACCACCTCCTCCCCCTGAAAATGACTCCGGGGGCACAAAGTTCAACCCCCCGAGGTGAACGTGGTGATGATGATGGGCCAGGCGGCTGTGTCAATATCAACAGCCCCATCAATCAAACTCACCTTCCCGATTCCTTTAAGACAAAAAAGGGGAGATCTCAAAGTGGGGAGGGCGGGGTTCCGCCTCCCGCGCGAAGCCCCGCCTCGGCCCGCTTTCAACCCAGGTGGCGTGGCGCTCCGCGAACACGCGCCCCCCGCTATATAAGGATTATCGGGGCGTTGATCGGCCCCAGGGCGCTTCTCGGCGCTTCTTTCGCTTGTTCGGCTTAGGCTTAGGCTTAGGCTTAGGGAATCTCATTAATGCATCGTTACGCCATTTCTTTAACCCTTTGCACCCTGATCTTTGTACTGCTCGAACTTCTCGAAATTCTCGAACCTCACCAGCTCCCCTTTTTTAACTGAATTTTTCTAGACCCCACAAAAATGCTCGCTCATACTATTTGCCTACTCGCATTCTACGCCGCATGCCAAGCTGTGCCGATGAGGATGGCCAAACCCTACACCGACGACAAGTTCAACCCGTTCGGCATGGAGACGGCACCGAAAAGTGAGTAAGAAAGATTCTTTCGGGGGAAAAAGGCAGGCTAGCAGAGATTTCTTGGGATATACCAAACCGCTCTTCATTATTCCTTTAGGTGACATGCTTTGGCCAATGTACCGCGACTATGATGGCTTCCGGAACATGGACGTTGACGGCGTCGAGGCGGAGTCGATCCCCGACGAGGAGAAGGGCCTGTTCCCCGCCTTCAAGACGTTCAACCCCAAGCTGCCGCAGATGCCCTTCGACAGCCAAGAAAACCAGGGTGCCGTCGACGCGCAGCAGCCAGGTGTTGCACCCAAGGTTCGTTATGGTTTCGGCTTGGGTTTAGACAAGCTAATGAGGGGATTTGGCTTCAAACGATGTACTAAGCGTCATTTTCTAGTTCACCGGCAAGTTCGAGGCGCCGAAACCGGAAGATAAGACCCCTGCCATTGACGAGGCGGCCCTAAAGGAGCTCGACCCGGACTATGTTGATGCCCCAGTCAGCAACCCGGCCACGTACTTCTTGGAGGGCGCCAACTTGGAGAAGGTTTGTTGTTTAAAAAAGTATAAGCAAGCTAGCCGGGGCTCTTTAAGAGGTTAGCTGGGCAGGCTTGCAGAGTCTTGGGGAAAAAGTGAAAGGCCTAAGCCTAAGCCCAAACCCGAGCATTAATAGACCAGAAATTACCGTCCTCCTTCCAGGTGTCCGCCCCGAAATGCCAGATGATCGGCTGCACGGGCCCGGTCCCGAATGACGGCTCCATCCAGGCCCCCAAGGACGAGAAAAACGCCGACGGAGCCTGCCACACAACATTCGTCCCCCTGAATGGGTGCCTGGACGGCAAGGGCTACCCCATGGGCATGATGTGCCAAATCTGCTGCGACTGCGCCCGCTCTTTCGTCCAGGAGATGCAGAAGAGCCGCGGCGTGCGCACCGGATATGTTGAGCCGAAATAAGTAGGCTTAGGCTTGGCTTAGGCTTAGGCTTAGGCTTAGGCTTAGGCTTTGGCTTAGGCTATGCAAAGTCCAAGTCCTTTGTCCCTTCCCTCTGTATAGCCCCTCCCATTAATGCTTGTACCATTTGAAACGGGTCCCCTCCTTCCTTCTACTGTTCATCTACTGTCCTGTAAATAGTGTGCCCTGTACATAGGCCATTTCCGCAAAACTTCGAATTGTTGTAAATTATGCAAATTTCGTGCTCCACCATTACGGTCTCGCCCCAACGCCCCTCCCTCCCAGCAACACGTGAATTTCGGGTCTCGCCTATTTTATGCAAATTATGCTTCTTAGGCTCGGGCTTAGGCTTGGGCTTGTCCCTATTAATGCGTAAACAACCCTTGTACACAACCATGTCCATATCTTGACTGTTTTACCTTATTTTTTGTACTTTTTTTTGATCGGATCGATACGGTTACGCCCTTGCTCCGGAGAATAAACTCCTTATGCTCATTTTGATTTTTTTATAGGACGACAAGTTACACCAAATTCCATTGAGGGTACAGACTACAAAAACTTTCAAGATTAGAGAACATTTAAAAAATTAAAGTACCGATTTCCAAGCTGAAAAAAAACTGAAAAGTCAGGAAATCTAGTAGAATCGATTTTAACGGGGCTGACATGTCAACATTTCTCATTTTCTAGTCGATTTCCCTGGCATTAAGACTAGAAAAGTACGCCACTCCGAATGACGCGTCGGCTGGGTATCAATGCGGTGGCCTTGGGCACGAACGAACGCAGGGGGAAGGAAAAGTCGGCGAAAAATTTACGCGCACCACATTCCTGGGATCAACTTCCCGGTCTTAAGCTAAAAATAGCGAAAAATGGGGAAAAATCTGAGAATGGCTTCAACCGGTCTTCAAAACCATGTCTGAAGCTATCAGGGAAATTGTGGCCTCGTGCCAAAATCTTCGGCATTCTTCTCGACTTCCCAATCCCTTTAAAATCCTGCTATTCCCAAGAAAATCCATTTTGGCTGACCGTCTGATAAGTAGCCCCGATTCCCCCATCCCGTTGTCTCTGGCGCCCGGGCTATTAGTGCGAGAACGTGTGGGATGAGGAGGGAAAGAAAAAAAAAGATGAAAATTGGAGGAAAGGGATGTCTCGCGGTTTCTCGTTTGAATGAGTCGAGAAACGGCACACTGTTTTTCCAGGGCAGCAGTCACACGGCATGGTCCTGGCACGAATAATATTCCTGGCCTTTTGTTTTGTGGCTACGGTAATTCCGGGGCAGGTGGCGCAGAAAGGTAGGTGAATAAAGGTATATTAAAGAACGAGAATCCTCGACAATTTCTGCTAGCCCGCCCTCTCCTCTTCCTCAACAATCTCTGCTAGCCCGCCCTCTCCTCTTCCTCAACAATCTCTGCTAGCCTGCCCTCTCCTCTTCCTCAACAATCTCTGCTAGCCTGCCCTCTCCTCTTCCTCAACAATCTCTGCTACCCTTCCATTCCGCAAAGAATCATTGCTACACGTGCCCTAACAAGCCTAAAATCTGTAGTTTCAGATACCTCAGATCCTCTACCCCTTCCCGACAATGATCCATTTGTCATTTTTCGGCTAGAAGACTATTTCCCAAAGCCGGACGACAAGAAGAAGCTGGAAGTTCAAAAAGTGGAGAAGTCAAGTGAAACTTCAGCGAGTCCAGAGTTCGAAGATTTCGATCTGTTCTTACCCACGCCTGGGGTGGCTCCAAAGGTTGGCACTTTACATCTCCACATATCTTTTTCCTAGTATTAGAGACTATTTGTAAAGTATTCTGTATTTGTAAGGCGATGCTTTGAAATTGCAGTTCACCGGCGGGTTTTTGGACGGAACCAGGACGGACAAGGACTCGAAAGTGGGCTTTGATGTTGGACCTATCACCAATCCGACCGCATACTTTTTGGAGGGAGCAGATTTGGGAAAGGTATGGGCTTAGGCTTAGGCTTAGGATTGACTTAGGCTTAGGCTTAGGCTTAGGCTTAGGCTTAGGCTTAGGCTTAGGATTGACTTAGGCTTAGGCTTAGGCTTAGGCTTAGGCTCAGGCTTAGGCTTAGCCTTAGGCTTAGGCTTAGGCTTAGGCTTAGGATTGACTTAGGCTTAGGCTTAGGCTTAGGCTTAGGCTTAGGCTTAGGCTTAGGATTGACTTAGGCTTAGGCTTAGGCTTAGGCTTAGGCTCAGGCTTAGGCTTAGCCTTAGGCTTAGGCTTAGGCTTAGGCTTAGGCTTAGGCTTAGGCTTAGGCTTAGGCTTAGCCTTAGGTCTAGGCTTAGGCTTAGGCTTAGGCTTAGGCTTAGGCTTAGCCTTAGCCTTAGGCTTAGGCTTAGCCTTAGCCTTAGGTCTAGGCTTAGGCTTAGGCTTAGGCTTAGGCTTAGGCTTAGGCTTAGGCTTAGCCTTGCAGGTCTAGGCTTAGGCTTAGGCTTAGGCTTAGGCTTAGGCTTAGCCTTAGGCTTAGGCTTAGGCTTAGGCTTAGGCTTAGGCTTAGGCTTAGGCTTAGGCTTAGCCTTGGGTCTAGGCTTAGGCTTAGGCTTAGGCTTAGGCTTAGGCTTAGGCTTAGGCTTAGGCTTAGGCTTAGGCTTAGGCTTAGGCTTAGGCTTAGCCTTAGGTCTAGGCTTAGGCTTAGGCTTAGGCTTAGGCTTAGGCTTAGCCTTAGCCTTAGGCTTAGGCTTAGGCTTAGGCTTAAGCGTAGATAGTTTCTAATTTTCTCCTTATTTTTTGAGATTTCCCCTCAAAAATGCCGACTAGAGGACTGCGAGGGCCCGATGGTGGATGACGGATCGGCGCAAATTTCGGGAAATGGAGGGCAAGAGGGAAATGAGGGATGCTCGCAGGTGATGATCCCGTTGAACGGATGTCTCGATGGCAAGGGATATCCCGTTGGGATGGTTTGTAGGGTGTGCTGTGAGTGTGGAGCGGATTTTCGCATCGAGATGGCAAAAAGCCGAGGGTTTGGCATGGATTTTGGTGCAAAATAAGTAGCTAGATCACCTCAAGAATCGATCATTTGGGACGAATGCCAAAAATAGCAGTGGCTACCGTATTCCTGCGCTACTCAAAATTAAATCACCCTTGTCAACCCCCGTTAAAGCTTGCTAAAATCCGCCCCGATCACCGTAACCTCCCCAAAGTTATCGTGCTTGCATTTTGCCGTCTACAGCATCCCCCCGTATCCGCAATTGTACATTATGTTAATGATTTGTATAAATAAATTGTTATGGCCTTTTTTAGAACATCAAATACTTACACCATGTCGAAAACACGGCATTTTTGCCCCCCAAAAAACCCACCGATTCGAGCACCATCATCTCGGTGGCGTTGCACTTCAGCGTGGTCAGGAAGTCGGTGGCTAAGAGAATCAAATATGTTATATTTGGATTTAAGGAAATATAATGAAATTTAATGAATTTACGATACCTTTAATACAAATCTTGCGGACTCGGGAGGATAGAGAGTCGCTGTCGGCGCCGAACTCGAGGCAGAGCCGACCGATCAGCTCGTCGGCTTCGGAGCTGAAAAGGGGCTTAGGCTTAGGCTTAGGCTTTACCTGACAACGATGCCATTGAAACATCCCAGCGCCATCGCGTCGCTGAACGCCTCAAAGTAGTGGCCCAGCGGGGCGAGGATATCTTCAGAAGTTGCTTGTAGCAGACATTTGATAGGGCTGAACTCCTCGCGGTCGGCGATGGCGTGCCGAATGGAGCCTGATAGCCTGAAATGGGAGATGAAAGAGAGCGAGCGAGAGTTAAAGGGAGCGAGAGCGAGAGAGCGAGAGCGAGAGAGCGAGAGAGAGAGTGGGACAGAGTAAGAGAGGGAGGCTCGACACCTACCTGGCCAGCGCATCTGCCGCCCCCGAAGTAGCCAGGTGGAATTTATGCAGCAAATCCGCTACCGTAGCGCTCTGATCCTCGGCACAGGATGCGCGACCTGAAAACAGAGATCATCTCCCAGTTTCCGGCCCACAATTTTCGTGTATCTTCTGGCTGACGCGCGTCAGCGAGCGGAGCAGCCGCCCGAACCGCACCGCCAAATTCCATAGCGTAAACGATTCCTGGAAGTTGGGGTCAGAAAAATTTCGTTTTCCTACTTCGACAGCGACGGTCCTCGCCGCACTGGAGAAGCCGATTGCGGATTGGAACGATTCGATGGAGGTGCAGGTGTGGCCCTGGAATGGGTCCTCAAATGGTCTCTGCTAGTTTGCCCCTATTTGTTAGGACTCTCCAAAAACACTGCTAGACCTGACTTACCTGCACGAACTGCGGCAGCTTCTGGATTGTCATCTTGTTATCCGCCTGATCAGGTTGGCACACCAAAACATGGGTTGGGCCCAGTGGGCTGGCGATGAGTAGCGTGGCCCGGTTAGCGGAGGCCGAGATGTCCAAGCCGTACTGGTCGTAGCCAACCTAAAGGAGTGTTTTATCGAGATATCTCGCTCTCTCTTTCTCTCTCTCACTCTCTCTCTCTCTTTCTTTCTCTCGCTCGCCCTCTACTCACCCGAAAGACCTGCGGGCTGGTGCTGTTCGGGCTGGGGAGGTTGTTCTGGAACGGTTCGCCCCAGGCGTAGATCTAAAGTGACGTATGAACGGAAGAGAAAAATAGCGTACCTGCCCCGTAGCGGTTAGCGCTAGAGAGAACTCATCTCCGCAAGCAACGTCGACAATATGGTGTTCAGTGAGGAGGGAGATTGGGAAGGGTTCCAGCCTTGAAATTGAGACTAGAGAGACAGAAAGAGAGAGAGAGAGAGAGAGAGAGAGAGACAGCGACAGAGACAGAGAGATAGAGACAGAGAGAGAAAGAAGAGAGAGAAAGAGAGAGAGAGAGAGAGAGAGAGAGAGAGAGAGGGAGAGAGAGAGAGAGAGAGAGAGAGAGAGAGAGAGAATGATAGAGAGAAAAGATATCCTTAATACCAACCTATTCAGCAAATCGCCATGACCGAGTTGCCCCTTCTGATTTTCGCCCCAGCTCCACACCTCCACGAAGTCGTCGGACAGATGGAAATTCTCGCGGCGAAGCTGAAAGAAGTCTATTAGAGCCTCAATTTCTTGATCTCTACCTTTTTGGTCACCTCCGGGCTGTCGGGTGGAGATTCTAAAGCCTAATGTAAAAAGCTTAAGACTTAAGAAATACCTTCTTGATGGAGTTGCAGAGACAAACGATCGACGGAGAGGAAGCTCATCGTGCTGCCTGGGTCCTAAAAAGCACCTTAAGACGAGTAAACCGGCATGGAGGTCTCCGATATTGCTGTCACGCTCCCTTTAAATGGAAATTTTGAAGGTATCGTACCTTTAAATCATCGCAAAATGAGTTGACACGACTGCCCGAGGACGAGCTGGCCGACTTGAGCTGCTTCACGCGATTCGGGGTGGAACTGTGGCGATGTCTGGAAGTGAAGAGTTCGAAGGAAAGAGAGCGAGAGCGAAAGAGAGAGAGAGACACACAGAGAAAGAAAGAGTGAGAGAGCCAACCTTCCCAACGATGCCCTCCTCTCGCGCATAATAATATTTTTATCCGTCTGCTGTGCCAGGTTGACGATCTCGAAGTCGTTCTCCAGCATCGCCATCAGGTCGTGCTCCTGAAAATTGACATCTTGTGATGAGCCGCACTTTTTTTTTCTACCTGATCCGCAGCCCGCATCGTCTTTGATAGCCGCATCTTGCCGTTGTCCTGGCACTCCGGGCAATTTTGGAAATGTGCCTCATTTTTCTAAAAATATTTGTACTTTTACGCAAAAGGTAATGCATTCGAGAGAGCGAACAATTCTGAATGCGGATGCTTCTAAGAAAAAATTGGAGTGGCTACGTTAGACGCGGAAAAATCACTTTTAGATAACATTATTTCCCAAAACGCCTATTTCCAAAGATTTCCATCGATTTTTCTCTACGTATAGTAAACTTTATACAATTTTTAGACAACCATTCAATGCAAAATATTTAGCGCTTTTGAATGAGATACTTCAAGAGCTTCAAAAATCGCTTCATTACCTCAAAAATATCCGATATGTTGTCTTCCAACTCGGCGCTGGCTGTCGTTTGTAGTGCGTCGTCGCGGATGACCAACGCCAGGAAGTGATTTCTAATCGATAAAGGTACAATTGAGATTAGTTCCATGAAAATCTCCAAAATCAAGCTATCGCGTTCCCTGAAACCCGACAAAACCACTACCAGTACCTTCCGGCCACGACTTTTGTACACTTCCGGAATCCGCCCATGAAGACGGCTTTTTTGAGGAAGATGCTCCTCGCTCCGGGCTGGATCTCTCTGTTGTCAAGGGTCCACAGTTGACCGGAAGTGTCGATAAGAGCAGTACGATGGGCACCAAATGCCACAGAGGTCACGGTGATTTCCCTAAAACTGTTTTTGGACGCTTGACAAAACGTACTCGTTTGAAGTCGACGCGATTTTGTGTGGGCAATAGAGGGGTGGGGCGAGCAGGCGGATCGTGGACCAGTCTAAAATGGAGGAAGTTCTCGAAGGTTTAGATCAGACTTAGGCTTAGGCTTAGGTTTACGATTTAGCTTAGGTTTAGGCTTAGGCTTAGGCTGAGGCTTAGGTTAAGCTTAGGTTTAGGCTTAGACTTAGGCTTAGATTGAGGGTTAGGCTTAAGCTTAGGCTTAGGCTTAGGTTGAGCTTAGGTTTAGGCTTAGACTTAGGCTTAGATTGAGGGTTAGGCTTAAGCTTAGGCTTAGGCTTCCTACCTTTCCCCCTCGGTCTTCACATGCAATCGCCCATCCACGGCCACCAAAGCCGGGCCAAAATTCCTAACGGCAAACGCTTTTTTCGGTAGCGTAGGTAGCGTATCGATTTGGAGGTCCCGAATCTTTGCCTGAATACCGTAGTTTGAATTTTCAAGGAGTTTTCTCACCAAGAAGTGGCGTTGTGTTGCCGAACTGTAGCTAAAGGGCTCGGAAAAGAGATTCTGATGATTTGCGGCCCATCCAGAAATGCCGATGGTCCCCTGTTCTTTTAGGCAAAAGATTCCGCCAGTTTCCATGATTACGCTTTGTGGTTGTGTTCTTCTAGGGCATTTGGATTTTCTGAAAGGTTTAGATTCGGTAGGTACAGATCCTCAACTACGGGGGAGACAAGGCAATCGATCAGAACTGATGTGAAAGGAATTTAAGGGGGCTGGCAAGGCTAAATAAAATATTTCAAGATGGGAAAGTCGGGATCATGATCAACATAGGCTTAGGCTTAGGCTCGGGCTTAGGCTTAGGCTTAGTCGTAACCTTTACTTTCGACTATCGAAGCAAGAATTGTCAGGAATTCTCAGCAAAAATCGCGGTCTTTCCAATTCAGACCCGCTGATGCGGAACGAGCAACAAAAAACACAATGTCGTCGCAAAAACAATAATATGACGCCATTTAAAAGCGCGTCACATGCAAATTCCTCCAAAATCAAGCTTACAAAGCCCAAAAAACTCAAAAGCTGCTCAACAATGGTAGAAACTTTTAATGCGCCCAGTCGCTTAAAAAATGAAGTTTATAAAAAAGTGTTTTTCCCACCAAAAATTGCCTAGAATAAGTTTTATACGCTCTAAAAATTGAAAATTACGAATTTCAGCTACAAATTTCTACAAAAATGTCTTATATCTCGGCTCCCCTACAAACTACAGGGCTGTAGAGTGTACCAAAATGTAGTTCTCAATTTAGAGAATAAGAAGCACGGACTTTTAAAAGCGCATAATAAAAATATTGATAAAATTACTGGCTTTAATACAGTTTCCATGAGACCGAGACTGGTCCTTGATGTATTTTACCACGCGATATTCCGCTTATATCCTCCGGCCGGGCCGAAAGGCGGTTGTTTTGTGTATTCCGGTGAAGCCGCCCGAAAAAGGGCAGGAGGTCCCAAGATCGATGCCGTGGGATTTTCCTGTTGAAATTCGTGTTTTCCGAGCGTTTTGAGGGCAAACCGCACAATAGTTTTTGGTACTGTCCAGTTTTGTAAACAGGATAATGGTATTGGGGATTGTTTGATGTCAAAATCAAGGTTTTACGAAGACAAAGGGCAAAAAACGGATGAAGCCTTTTCCTGCCCCTTTAAAATGCAAACAAGTCTTTAGAAAAATACAAAAATTAAAGTTTTATTTTGGCTTGAATAAGATTAAGTAAAAATAAGCATAGCGCCAGAGTTTGCAGACCAAAAATCCCGCAAAGTCCTCAATTGATTGTCTATAAGGTGTATCGTCATAGTACATTAATAGCATTCTTATGTTAGGCTTAAGCTTTGGCTTAGACCTCGGCTTAGGCTTAGGCTTAGGCTTAGGCTTAGGCTTAGGCTTAGGCTTAGGGTTAGGCTTAGGCTTAGGCTTAGGCTTAGGCTTAGGCTTAGGCTTAGGCTTAGGCTTAGGGTTGGCTTCGCTTTAAGCTTAGCTTTGGGTTTAGGCTTAGCTTTAGGTTTAGGCTTAGGATTAGGCCTAGACACCAGCTTCCGCCTTGATCCTGCGAGGGTCAAAAAAAATTGCAGCAAAAAATAGGCTCCCATTTTTTGCCCAGGTCAGTGAGCGATTAATTGCCGCCCCGATTTTTTTCAGTCATAAAACACCGGCCCAACACGTGCACCCGAATGCCCCCTCGTGGTGGGTCACAGAGGTCAAAACCGAGGGGGGAAAGGGAAAGAACCGTAGTGTGAGTCGAGGAGAACTTTACGAAAAATCGATTACGCGATGAAATGAATCACCCGTGGTTAGCGTGAGTCGCTGGATCATCAATGCACAAATGAGGCGTGCGGTTCGAGAGGAAAAGTTGCAAATCAGGGACTGCCCGTAGCCGCAAACTGTAAAAATTTCTGAAAGAAAAATCCGGAAGGATCTGCAAAAAATTCATTTTTAAAAAGGCCGTTTTTTCAAAGAATAAAATAGATATTTCTACATTTGGACAGTAGAACTCTGAAAACTACAAAAATTATTCGTTTGGAAATCGAAACCTGTAAGTTAAAATTGAAAAATTTCAGCGGCTTTAACGCGAGGTATATACCGCGTTACGAGCTGTTACGATAAATTTGAATGATCCGCCGAAAAGTGAAAAAATAAAGGGAAAGAGAGAGAGAGAGAGAGACAGAGAGAAAGAGAGAGAGAGAGATCACTATGTATTTGGAAATATCGACAGTTCGAGTTCAGTCAAAGGCTTTTCACACTCACTCCATCATCCCTCCAACACAAAAAGGAAAAAGAAGGGGGAAAAGTCCGGTTTGCTACCACGAACAAAATTGTGAAAGCAGCATTTCCCGGCAGAAAACATAGACAAATTGTAGGCAAAAACTTTAAAAAATTTAATTTTGTTTATAATTGACCAAAAACAAGTGAGTCTAGGCTAAAATCAAATCAGCGCGAAGTAAAATACGCTGAATAATCACATACGATATTTTTCTCCACTTAATTTAAAAAATATAGCGCTAATCAGCGCCCACCACCTTAAAAACAGCAATAATCTCCATCAATAAAAGGCGCGCTAGAGAGGTGGAGTTGACTCACCGCGAGGACTGGGTGGGCCCCCGATTGTTGACACAGTTCTTTGAGGTACAAAAAAACGGGCGATAGAATGCACTGAAGCGAGAGAGAGAGAGAGAGAGAGAGCGAGCGAGAGAGATAGAGAGATAAAGAGATAGAGAGAGATATCGAGAGAAAAAGAGCACCCAGGTGACGACCAGCCGGACAAAAAACCCGCGCCGAGCTCTCAGCTGACCGAAGTTTGTAGCCGCCGGCCCTCTTGACCCATTAGCACACGAAATAGCGCTTTTCTTGGTCATAACATTAATGTTTTATACTTTAAATTCGAGCTGAATTCAAAATAATTCCATTTTTCGTATTTTTTAAAAATTTATTTTGACTCTCCTTGAGCTAACTCTCCTTTTTTATTTTATGTTGCTTTGTAAAATTATGTAGCAAATTATTGCGTCTGTTTAAATGAAATAAGCAGGATTTTAATGATGTTATATTAGCGAGAAAATAAAATTGGATACCTTTACTTGTACACAACGCTCCTAATCTCACGCCTCTCTGGATTCCATGGCGTAATCGGTTTGAAGTTTTTGTTTACAAGAATGACCTTTTCTGAAAAATTATATCAATGATGTTCGAACTTTCTTGAATCTTTTTCCTTTTAAAATCGAACTACTCGAAGCGTTATTCTCTTTTTTCTATCTGTACCTCAAAAACCATAATTTTCAGTGATTCCCAGCCAGGATTCTCGGATTCCTGCATGCAGCCCGCCCGCCGTGACGTTTTAGCGCTGTACAAGCGGATTTTACGGTTTGCTCTACAATTTAACCGTTTATAATCGGTTTATTTAGTTTTGGCCAAGCGTTCGAATCGAAAGACCCGGCGCTGACCGCCGAACATCGCCAGGAAATTCTTACCGAGGCCAAGGAGCGATTTCGGGACAATGTGCAGGTTAGTTTTTTCTTCGAATAAACGTTTAAAGCTATTCAGTATCGACGTATAATAGTTTTACCTCGATCTAAAGCCCTTTTTCAGCTGTCCGACGTGAAGCGGATCGGCGAGTTGATGGACGAGGGGCGGACGCGGATGGAGTTGGCTCGCCACTACGGCATCCCCACGGCCCGTCCCGTCTATTTGGCACCCGGCACTGCTTTTAGTAAGTTTTTTTTTATATTTTAAAGACCATTAAACGTAGTGGCTGGTATATCTGGCTTTGTAGGCTCTTTTTCTTTAGTATTTCCAGAGCTACCCCATTTTTCATAAGCCTAGTAAAGTAAAATACGTTTTTTCGTTCGTAAACCAATTTTTTAGGTTTTAGCAGAGATGACAAACTTTTTTGATAGCAAAAACGGTATAAAAACACTGTCATTGTGAAATTAATAATCTCGGAACCAATTCTATAGAACCAACATAGTAAATATTTAATATACAATTCTCCTTTCTTTTCAGAAAAAGCGAAAGGCAAAGAGGCCATCTACCGATCCCGGCCGCTGCACGAGCGATAGTCGACCAGATTTTTTCGTGTATTTTTTAATTTATGGACTTGCTCAAGGGAAAGCCCAGTACTGCTAGTGAATAAATTGTTTCAGCGCTGTCAGGTGGAGCTCAGAAAATGCAGGGCAAGGCTTGGGAAAATGGAATCTGAAGTGGCGGGGGAGGTGCGCGGGTTTCCAAAAAGTTGACACTTTTCTAGCCTTTTCCCCGTCTAAAGCCGACTTTTGGGATGTCTGGATTTAAGGTAGAGTTTTTTGGCAGGTTATAAATTGTGTATTTTAATAGGCGCTTGATTCCCAGTTTCCAAAGGGCCATATTGAATATATGGACAGTGTGGACAGGATTGTAAAGTCCACCAAGACGACGACAACCACCGAGACGACGGAGACGATCCATTTTCGTGTGCCAAAGGTATCGAAAAATCATTTTAATTTCATGAAACAAAAAGCATAACGTTAATTGCAGCCCATTCTACGCTCTGGCTCCCCTCCAAAAACTCAGCGAAAATTGGCGATAACGACCGAGACGCATCATCGCCGAGTTCCGAATGGCGCGTGTGAACAGTCTGAGTCGGCGAATCGATTACGCCAGTTAATTATGGCGATTTAGGATGGCCAAGCTGATGCGCGAGTACGAGCAACTCGAGGTGGACATTGATTCGCTGACTTTGGAGAAGGATTTGCTGGGGGTAGGCATCTCTATCTCTCTCGCTCTCTCTCTCTCTCTCTCTCGCTCTATTTTTCTATATTTTTAGACTGGCTTAGCCGTTGAAAGCATCCGTTGCGGGCAGCAGGAAATTGCGAAAAAAGGCTCGTAAGCAATTTGAACCTTTTTTATGCAAATTTCCTAGGTCCCCTCGGAAAGAGGCGAAGGTGAATTTTAATCTACCGTTAGTAGAACAGCGTGCCGGGACCTCGAAAATCATCCCAGGTATCTTTCCAAATTTTTGAGGTGCTAAATAATTCTTTAGAAGAACGTCTTCAGGCCCAAATGTTGGGAATCACCCAGAAAAAGTAGAATATCTTGCTGTGTTTGATTAAAAACTGCTAAAACGTAATAAATATACCTTTATTAAATCAAATAAAATTTATAAAACCCACACAAAAAAAAATAGAAATTCTGAAGGCAGTCCGTACCCAGGAGCCGGGAGGGGAAAACTGGTGACCAGAAATGTTGGATAATATTGCACACACGGCGGTTGGCAAGAATTTACTAGCGTAATCGTCTACGTATCTCTTCTAGCCTTCATAGCTCCTTTAAAATGGACTAGCGGCAAGCAAAAGAGTGGCAATCACGATGCGAAGCGGCAAGAAAGCTCAAAAATCACAATTTAGAAACGACTAGACGCGGGGTGAAGGTGGGTGCTATCACAGAGACATTAATCCAAAAAAAAAAACAATAAAATTAACATACTCAACCCGTAATTAGGATCGACACGGAGGGGTTACTGTAAAGGGGCGAGTACCGGGATTTAGGTAAACTGAGGATACGGTGGGCGGGGTTTGGGCAAGAAAATGCAAATGGGCGAGGGTAAGGCAATTCGGGGGGAATCGGTTGAGGAATTGGAAAAGTCTAGGAGGATTAGGCATAGGCTAGGCATAGGCTTAAAAATGGGCTTAGGCTTATGCTTAGGCTTGGCTTAGGCTTAGCGTTAGGCTTCACTTAGGCTTAGGCTTAGGCTTAGACTTGGGCTTCGGTCATTAAAATAAGGAATTCTACGAAATAGACAATTCTAAACCGTTTGCCTTAAAACAACTTGAAACAAACAACTAGAAGTGAATGAAATTTTCTAAGAAACTCTCCAAAACCATAAATATCGGGAAGCGGGACTAGACGAAAAAAACGCAGAATTTTACGCACAAATACAAATACAAGACAGCATCATAAAAGTCTGGCTCGTCGATGTTAATTGAGGGCCGGGAAGTCGATGACGCGCCACCGCTCGACGACCTTGTAGCTGGGGTATAGGCCGACTTTCAGGGTACGTCGATTGGTGCCCTTGCTGAAGCCGTCCCAGTGGTTTCCGGCCAGGCCGACCGTGTCGCCGACCCTGAAAGAAAGGGCTTAGGTTTATGAGGATGCTCAGGATGCTTAAGGCTCAGATTTCAGCTTGAAAAACTCACTTGAGCTCGATCTCGGCATCCCGCTCGGGCACATGATCCTCGATGGCCACCTGCTCGTGGTCTAAGAGTTGCCCCATTGATACCGTACGCAATGGCCGACTCACCGTGCTGCCCACCGTAGTAGTAGACATCGTCGAGCGAGTGGAAGGCTTCACCGTCGGGCTTCCGGACCTGCATCAGCTCGTAGCCCATGCGGCAGACCTGGAATTAGACGGTTTACCTCAGATTCGCTCTCCTTCTCTCTCCCCCTCTCTTTCTCTCTCTCGCCTTTCCCTCTCTCTCACCTGACTAGAAAATGTGCAGACGAGGTAATCACAGCGGCTGAGCAGTTGTATATCCGTCACCACTCCATACAGCGAGGCATCTAAATTTGCATACGAAATTTTTGGTTTTCTTCATACTAACCTGTATATCTTGAGTTCAACTTGGCCGTGTCGGCAATGTCGGCGTCGCCAAACACTTCGTAAAGGGGATAGCTAAAAAATTGGAAGTAGTTTTTAAGCTTAAAGGGGCCATGAAGGCAAAATCTGGCAAAGGCAACAACTGAGCTGTGTAAACGAACTTCTTCCTGGTCTCCGCGAGCACAGAAGGGTCATCCGAGGCGACGAACACTTTGCGAGGCACCGGCTTGCCGACGCGCTTATCCTGGACACGGAACCAGATCTGGAAATAGTAATTATGGAGCTCCCTCTCCCTCCCTGTATCTCTCTCTCTCCCTCTTTCCGTCGCTCTCCCACTCTCTCTCTCTCTATCTCTTTCTCTCACTTTCTCCCTCTCTCTCTCTCTCGCTCTTTCCCCCCTTTCCAACCCACCTCGACCCATTCCATATATTCGTCAACCGAATGAAACGCCGCTTCCGTGCCAATCTTATCTGTTCGCCGAACTTGAATCCCGACAATAGGACCTGAAAAAGCATTTTTAACGCATTTTTATAGCTTCCGCAACACACCCCCAGACAAACATCCCCCTCCCGCCTAGCCCAACTCTATGAAAGGGCCTCTCCACAAAATGCTGACGATTCCCGTACGATTCTTGCTATTTCTAGCTGCGATTTCCGTAGTTTATGCCATCCTACCGTATCCGGATTTCAAAAATCGTGGTGAGAGCCCGGAAACTAAAGCGAATCCCCCAGGTACGTTTCGTGGAATTTTGTACCAAAAATTGGCTATAGGGCTTCATTGGATTGTGAAAAATGCAATTTCCGGTTTTCTAGGCCTCCAAAACTATGGTTTCCGGAGTGAGACGAGCTTTCGCTTCGGTTTACGCTTAGGCTTAGGCTTAGGCTTCGACTAGGCTTGGGTTATAGGCATGGGCATAGGTTTTGAATCCAAAATTTTAGGCGCTCCCGTAACCTTGGATGAACCCAACTCCGCTAAAAACGAGCAATTTGTGGCTCTATTTCATTTTATCTATTTTTTGCATTATTTGCGAACCGTGATGCTTTGATAAATTTTTGACAAGCCCTTAAAATAACGTCATAAAAATCCTGCCCACCTTTCCCAAACGGCACCTTCGCCACGGCCCTCTCAATCACGCGATCCATCTCCACGTTGTTGCGCATCAAATACCAGATGAACTGGCTGATGAAATAGAGCGGCGGGTTTGAGTGGAGTTTCAGCATCTCGTCCTCAAGCTGCTTCGGGAGGGAGAGGGGCAGCGTGGCTGGGCGGTCTTGGAGTGCGTCTACGATTGGGAGCTCGACCACTCGGACTCCTGCGGAACCACGGAAGGCGTGCGGGGTCTCTCCCTAAAATTGTCTTTTTTTAGTTCAACGGGACCGGGAAGGTTTGACCAGATGCTGGACCAAAAGCTACACTCACGTTCAACGCCTCATCGGCGGTACACTTCGAGACGGGCAGAAACGCGCCGGACCAGCCTTGCCTCGAATACCTGAAAAATTATGATTCAAGGGACAGTCTACCCTCACCTCCAGATTCTGCCATTCTGGGTGAGGATCAGCGTGCGCGATTCGCCGAACGCCACCACGAAGCAATAGCCGACGTGGTGTAGCTGGCAGCCGAAGCCGCACTGCTTGTCCAGGTTGCACACGAGGATACTGAAACAAGGTAGGTTAAATGGTCTCGGCTAGCCTGTCCACCGCTCTTCCTCAACAATCTCTGCTAGCCTGCCCTCTCCTCTTCCTCAACAATCTCTGCTAGCCTACCCCCTCCTCTTCCTCAACAATCTCTGCTAGCTTGCCCTCTCCTCTTCCTCAACAATCTCTGCTAGCCTGCCCTCTCCTCTTCCTCAACAATCTCTGCTAGCCTGCCCTCTCCTCTTCCTCAACAATCTCTGCTAGCCAGCCCCTCCTCTTCCTCAACAATCTCTGCTAGCCTGCCCTCTCCTCTTCCTCAACAATCTCTGCTAGCCTGCCCTCTCCTCTTCCTCAACAATCTCTGCTAGCCTGCCCCTCTCCTCTTCCTCAACAATCTCTGCTAGCCAGCCCCCTCCTCTTCCTCAACAATCTCTGCTAGCCTGCCCTCTCCTCTTCCTCAACAATCTCTGCTAGCCTGCCCTCTCCTCTTCCTCAACAATCTCTGCTAGCCAGCCCCCTCCTCTTCCTCAACAATCTCTGCTAGCCTGCCCTCTCCTCTTCCTCAACAATCTCTGCTAGCCTGCCCTCTCCTCTTCCTCAACAATCTCTGCTAGCCAGCCCCCTCTTCCTCAACAATCTCTGCTAGCCAGCCCCCTCCTCTTCCTCAACAAGCTCTGCTAGCCTGCCCTCTCCTCTTCCTCAACAATCTCTGCTAGCCTGCCCTCTCCTCTTCCCCAGCAATCTCTGCTAGCCTGCCCTCTCCTCTTCCTCAACAATCTCTGCTAGCCTGCCCTCTCCTCTTCCTCAACAATCTCTGCTAGCCTGACCTCTCCTCTTCCTCAACAATCTCTGCTAGCCTGCCCTCTCCTCTTCCTCAACAATCTCTGCTAGCCTGCCCTCTCCTCTTCCTCAACAATCTCTGCTAGCCTGCCCTCTCCTCTTCCTCAACAATCTCTGCTAGCCTGCCCTCTCCTCTTCCTCAACCATCTCTGCTATCTACCCACTTGGCCCTCTTGCAGTCGGGCGGATTCTGGATCTCGTCGATACGCTTCTGGATCTTCTCAGTGAGCCCGAGCAGCGACTTGCTTCTCCACTCGGCATACACATCGCTGAGGTTGTAGGAATGGGCGAGTAGAGACGTCATCTGGAATGTAGTGGATCGTAGTCAACTACAGGTGGTGTTTGTACCTGTTCCAGGGTGTGATTCTTGAAGACATCAGAGTCCTTGTTGTCCTTGAACTCCTTCCGCAAGTAGTAGAACATCTCCCAGATGCGCTGGTCGACCCCACGACGTACCTAGAAAAAACATTCAGACGGCGTCAGAAAAACGTACCTCTTCAAATTGTCGCCCAGGCCCGAAGGCGTCCGGCTCCAGCGGTTTTGGGACCACCATTTGTTGGTTATTCTCCTAAATGGAAGATTAGCTACCGTACTTTAAAGGACTATAGAAGACAAAAAAGACTTTACTCAGGCTGAGACTTAGGTAAATAGGACACACCTTGGCTTCACGGCTTTCCTTGATCTGCAGCTTCTCACCTCGGCCCGACGCTCTCCGTTTCAACTCTTGGATGCGCTCCCGCTCATTGCGCTCTTGCTCTAAAGAAGATGGATACATAGTATGAAAAAATTCCCTTACGGATCATCTGCTGGAGCCGCTCATTTTGGTCTCGCAGCTCTCTGATGTTGGAGAGGGCCTCGTCAAGGCGCGAGGAGACGGCTGACGAATCTGCATAGCTTTCTGAAAAGAGGGTTTGGCTTAGACTTCGGCTTAGGCTTAGGCTTAGGCTTAGGCTTAAACTTAGGCAAGCTTAGCCTTAGGCTTAGGCTTAGGCTTACAAGGGAACCTCAAGTTGGCACGGTGGAGTTTCGAAAAACGCTCGCGGCTACCCCTAGGTTTTCGACTATGGCGATTCCAACGGTCTAGTCAGAATTTCCTAAATAGGCCTCTGGACAGAGATACAGCACTTCCGGAAAATGATGATTTACATCCGAAAAATTAGCATTAGCGATAGGTTTATGAGGCCCTCCCATCAGTATGGAATCACCAGTTGGATGGCCGAGTGGTAAGCGACTCACTTGATAGAATACTGACGAGGGTTCGTATCCGTTCACGATTTTTTATTTTGCTTTTTGACCGGAACTTTCTGCCCAACTTACTTTTTACTATAAGAAAAATTTTTGGTTATGGCCCCAGACTGACTACTCCCAAGAGTCCTGAAAACTAGTTCTCGAAATTCAAAAAAGTTGGGTCTACCCATATTCCATTTTTTCACAGAGAAGCCCCTATGATTTACTTGGATGCTTTCAGAAGTTTTAACGCATTTTCGAAAAAAAGTAATCAAAACTTGGAGTTGGGCAGAAAGTTCCGGTCAAAAAGCAAAATAAAAAATCGTGAACGGATTCGAACCCTCGTCAGTATTCTATCAAGTGAGCCGCTTACCACTCGGCCATCCAACTGGTGACTCCATACTGATGGGAGGGCCTCATAAACCTATCGCTAATGCTAATTTTTCGGATGTAAATCATCATTTTCCGGAAGTGCTGTATCTCTGTCCAGAGGCCTATTTAGGAAATTCTGACTAGACCGTTGGAATCGCCATAGTCGAAAACCTAGGGGTAGCCGCGAGCGTTTTTCGAAACTCCACCGTGCCAACTTGAGGTTCCCTTGTTAGGCTTAGGCTTAGGCTTAGGCTTAGGCTTAGGCTTAGGCTTAGGCTTAGGCTTAGGCTTAGGCTTAGGCTTAGGCTTAGGTTAGGCATAGGCTTCCCAGTTAGTTGGCTCCACCCACCTGATCGCCCCTGTAGTGTGAAGAGGCTTTGCGAGAGGTACAACAGCACGACAATCCATAGCACCAGCGCCACGACGGCCGCCGTCTTCACCGACCACATCGTGCGGTGTTGGGCACGCCGTTTTGACGTCAGTGTGGGGCCGCTGGGCCTGAAATTCGGGGGTATGCTATAGCGATGTTACGCATACGAATACGACATGGGAGTTACGCGTCGTATTCGAATAAACCGTCAGAATCAAAAATTTCATAATTCCGACCCGATCATCGTATTCGAATTAAGATCAGAACCAGCCGAATGTGTCGATCGTATTCGTTTAAACGGGTCACATCGGGATAATAAGCTAATTGGGATGCAAAGCGATATGACGAAGTACACGGTCGGAAAATGGAAACAAGTAGTCACAATATGCATAATTTGAATAGATTTAGGAGCCAATTTCCCGGTCATTTCCGGTGACGGTGTCAATATTTTGATATTAACATAGCATGTCGTCTTGAATTTTTAATTAGCTTTTTATCCCGACGTGAAGCCGACTTGCCAGATCGTCGCGTCGGAATTAGCCGAAGCTTATTCGAATACGATCGTCGTATTCGAATTATCGGTATTTTGGAATTGCCGAACTCAGAGCGAAAGAGAGATAGAGAGAGAGACAGCCAGAGTGAGCGAGAGAGAGCGAGAGAGAGAGAGATAGCGAGGGGCAGAGAGATCGACATCGAAAATAGTAAGCCCAATTTCCTGTATACCTCGGGCCGGGGAAATGAATCAGGGGCCGGGAATCGAAGAGCGCGAGGGGAAAATAAAAGGCCCATTACACGTGTGAAAAGTATCGGTTCGTATAGTTCGATTTCGAGTGCATAAATTTTACATGAGAGCAATTATGCAGAGTGCCGTCGGGAAAGGATGGAGTTTTTAGGCTTCGGCTTAGGTTTAGGCCTAAAATAAGTAAAAATGCAAAACCGGAAAAACGGGTCATTTCCAAAACTTCAAAAGACAGTAATCCCCCCACACAACCCCAGGGCACAATTCCCAGAAAAGGAGAAGCCCCACCTGCGGCGCCCACACTCACATCTTGGGCCCTTTTGAATGGGGCCAAGAGCACAGAATCCAACCCTGAAATTTGTCCCCCCCCCTCCGGGTCGGCTAATCCCCCGTCCCTAGGGATTGCTTTTTGTTGCCATCAATTTTTAATAATGAAAAAAACCGGTGGGCGAAAGGTTTTCCCGGAGGGCGGAAATTGCTGCCAATTTGGCCGTATTGCTTTTTTGTGGAGTTGATTGAGTTCTAGAAAATCCTGTGGACGTTCAAGTCAAGTCCAGGCTTAGGCTTAGGTATAGGCAAGGCTTGCGCTTATGCTTAGGCTGGAGCTTAGGCTTAGGCTTAGACTTTGCTTAGGCTTTGCCTAGACTTCAGCTCAGGCTTTGGGCTTATACTTCTAAAGCCATCTTTTAAAAAGAAACTGGGGCCCCGAGGCTGTAGTCCGCCACAAATGCGCGTCATTGGAAATTCGAGAAGCGCGTTTTTGCATCCACCTCTGCGAGAAAGGGGAGCTTTTTGAACAGAGCAAGTTAGTTTTTGGCCGTTTTTAAAGTTTATTCACTTTTTGTCGCGCTTAAACGTATCCGAAAGGTTCAATACGCTCGAAAACGAAGCTTCAATAGTTTAGAGCACAAAAATACAACCCTAACGCCTAAAAATCGCAAATTTTTCGCAGAAAACCAAAAGCCGTGCGAAAGGGAGGTCATGGAAACTAACGGGATTAGGGACATTAAGGGCCCCGAGTGGCCGGAGGGAGGAAAAACGGAAGAATGAGAGAGAGTGGGGAGCAAGAGAGGAAGTTGGAGGCCCCAGGCAATGGCCAATGCCAGGGCCCTCTTTTCGGGTGGTAGGGGCTCCGAGGTGGAGAGAGAGAAAGAGATGGAGGGAAGAGAGCGGGAGAGAGGCTGGAAAAATATACTACTCTTGCTCGGGCACTTCTATGTACTTGCCGAAAAAAGCTTTTGTTTTGGGGAAACTTAAAAAAAACTGGAGAACGAGGTACTTGCATGGGAAATTGGGGAATTAGTAAAGAGGTGTGAGAGAGCGAGAGAGAGCGAGAGAGAGCGAGAAACAAAAGCGCAAGAGAAAGAGAACAATAAAGAGACCGAGAGAGAGAGAGACAAGGAGTGCGCGACAGCGAGATGGAGAAAGAGAGAGAGTGAGAGCGAGAGAGAGAGAGAGAGAGAGAGAGAGAGAGAGAAAGAGACTGAGAAAGAGAGAGATTTCTTAAATCCTAAAGTCAGATTGCCTGCTTTTCTGGTCCCTTTTTCAGCGTAGACAGGCTAGCAGAGATTATTTCAAAAACCCAGCCAAAAAAATCCCTTGAAATTATCTAGCCTAATAAACGTAAAGAGTTGCATGCCGTAGTGCCCAATGCGGGTTCCAGACGTCCAACTGGGCACCCCAGCGAACCAGGGTATCCAACTGGAAATCAATTCCCCGGGACACCCCAGTCCAGGGCCCCCCTGGCCACAACCCTTGGGCCCTTAGCCATGCAAAAAGAGTCTCCCATATGGCACACCATTCCTGCCACTCTCCTCCTCCTACTTCTTCTCATCTGTCTCCTAATTTTTCCCGATCTTTCCCGGTGGCAGTCGGTCCCATACCGCCTATTAATATGGTAATTTGTCCTGCCCGCCGGCTGTCCGGAATTAACTATGCCCCGTTGAGAAACACGGATGGCTGACAGAGAATATCTAGGAAATTTCTGAGAATACTGGTCTTCCGAGGAGAGAGCAGAAGAGAGGGGAAGAGAGAGAGAGAAAGAGAGAGAGAGAGAGAGAGAGGGAGAGAGAGGGAGAGAGAGAGGGAGAGAGAGCGAGAGAGAGCGAGAGAGGGATAGAGAGAGCAGAAAAACTTACTAAAACCGTTTAAAATTTCAATGGCAACCCAGCAGAGATTTTTGAGGAAATCAACCATCCGCTGGTGGGCTAGCATTTAAAATGATTTAAATACTCCTTGATTTTAAAGATCAGGCAAGCACTGTTTGGCAGAGAATCCCGATTTTATAATGCACTTTAGATAAGAGCCCTTTTGAGAATCGGAAATCCTTGGTTGAATGAAAAACAGAGATGGAAAACGGATCGGGAACTTTGGTCGAATTTCTGGCAATAACTAAAGGTTGGTCGGAACTTTCGAAATAAGTTCGCTAGGGCCAACTAGTAGAGAGTCTTTGAGGCATTCTTATGCTTTTTTTGCCTTCCAGGTTCCTTTAAAAGAGCCTAGGCAGGCTAGCAGAGCCCCTAGAGAATAATTCAGCGTTCCTAAGCTTGTTTTGCCTTCTAAGTACCTTTAAAAGAGATTTTATAGACTTTTATCAAGTCGAGAATTCTTTTAAAAATGACTCATGCCTCCTGAGCAGCTTCCTAGCAAATATAAGCATGCTAGCAGTGATTCCTAAGGAATTAAAAAAAATTTTCAAGCCGATTTACGTCAGTGAATAAAACCCAGATTTAATGATGACCCCAAAAAACCCCAATTCCCAGCGTTCGTGGCAGGAATCGATGGTTTGGCCGGGCCATCGGGCCCGGCCAGTATATTACAGGAGAGCTTATCGGGTTTCGCCCCCTGCCAATGCTCTGCACCCCCCCCCCCTGCCTGTGACAGAGCACTCGCTTATTTTATTTCCTGCCCCGGCCAATCGAGTGACAACAAGCAGGGGAAGCCCCCAAAAACATCAGGGAAGTGGGTGCTAAGTGAAAAAAAGATCGAAATAACATCGAATTTTGAGCTTCATTTTTGCTAGTGTCATCGACGTCCGCTTAACGAAAAAATGGCCGTATATGCAGTAGAGACAGCAAAAGTCCCTAAAAATTGGTTTCTATAGAATAACCAAAAGCAGTAAGCTATGGGGAAACCTGGGTAAAGCCCCCGGGACGTTGCGTGTACATCATTCATTCATCAGCCCAGAAGCGGAGGATACTAGGTGGGGCGCCAGTTAGCAGAGATCATTTGGGAGGGGAGAATTTTTGAGGAAAGACGCCGGGAATGCTTAAGCCTAAGCCAAGAAGCTTAAGCCTAAACCTAAGCCAAGCCTACGCCAAACCTAAGCCTAAACCTAAGCCCAAGCCCAAGCCTAAGCCTAAGCCTAAGCCTATGTCTAAGCCAAACCCAAGCCAAGCCCAAACCCAAAGCTCCGGCTGTCAGATGATAGATGGGTTGTTGTGGGGGTGACACCTAACAATAAATGGCACATGTCAACCCGACCCCGGATGGATGGTTTGGATAATGAGGGGGGAATGGGCCCCCGGAGGGGGATGATTGGCCCTTGGCCCCCTTGGGACCCACGGGGGGGGGTAGTGATCGAAATGTCTCGGGGTGCAATCCCATCCCTTCCACCCGGGGCCATCTGTCATTAGGATCGAGCCGTTCGTTCGCCCTGTCTCACTCCATTGCAATTAGTTCTGCATGGCAAGGGGGGCTAAAAAAGTGTATTTTTGTAATTTAAAAAATAGTGCTAAACCTGAAAAAGTTGTTTTAAGGTTGACAATAGGGAACAACTGTGCTTTCCTAGGCTTAGGCTTAGTCTTCGGCTTAGGCTTAGGATAGGCTTAGGCCGCCTTCAAAAGGCTTAGGCCGCCTTTTTGCGCCTTCAAAATCCCCCTTTATAACCGACTAAAAACTGGTCAAATTCAGGGCTAGCAAAACACGAGCACGAGTACGTTACGCGCCCATATTTCCGATATTACAAGCCCGAAAACCTGCGTGCCAGTAGCCGCAAGGCACATCGAGTGAATCAACCCCTCGATTCGACGAACCGATTGCTCATATCCAGCGACGGCATTTGGATTGTGGTGGAGAAGGCAATATTGCGCTCCCCCCAAACCCTAAATATAGAAATATATAACTATATTATATAAATATGTATTTGATGGGGAAGGGGGTGCTGAATATGGCGATTTCACTGCCAAGGCAAAAGCTTCAGAAGTGTCAAACCAGCCGCATACAAGAGTCAGACCGAAATGTAGGTACTAGGCTGTTAGCGGGGGAGGGGGATTTAGAGGGGGTATCTAGCCTTTGGCCCGAATGCCTTTTAATTTTTTGTAGCAGCTTTGTTCGCAAAAAGTGACAACCACATTTTGAAAAAAATTGAAATTTTGTCGAAAAAGCGAGGTTGATCGAAAATTTCAATGTGCATAATTTTGGATCTTTGAAGAGAATAAGAGCCATAATCCCGACAGCCAATATACCGAAAGCTTCTTGTTCTTGGTTCGATTACCGCTTCCGGTCAGGCTTCCGGTCAGCTTACCTCAGCTATTCAACGTGTCGGCATTTTTGCTGTCGGGATTTTGGAAATACCGATTTTAAGGGGAGGGTGGTAAATGACAATGCCCAATGCAAAATATGATAGTTGCAGGCCCGAGAAGGTATTGGAAGGGGCGCACGTTTACATAGCTTATCATCTGGGGGTGCATGGCAGGGCAATGGCCCTGGTCGTATCTAGTGGCCGATGTTTTCACGTATACACCGGCTCTAAGAAGCCGGTTGGCTTATAATTTAATGGATCGTATCGGCCGCGAAAAACTAAAAAAAACCACATTCAAGAGCTTCGATTAAAAAGGAGGTTTTTATAACCATTTCCTGTTTTTTAAAGCTTTCTAAAGCTTAAATAAAAATTTTCAATCGAGCCAAAGGAAATCCTGTTTTCAAAACACTAAAACTCACACAATACACAAAATCTAAGGCCCAAATCCCCCCTTTAAAAACCAAACTTGGCCGGATTAATCAGTGAAGCCCTCCGGCTCACTCCAAATATCGAATCCACCTTGATGTTGGGTGCCAAAATTCGACCCCTCTAATCCGATCTTCAAAGAACGACTATGTTTTCGCCGCGTACCCCTGAAACCCATGGTTTTGGCAAGCAACGACAAAAATGATATTTTGTGGGAATACCACATTTTGCAAATCAGCCGGCGACCATTTGGCGTGGGCGGCAAGTGGGTTTGCGGATTATGCGGGTAAAACGGGCGCGCGCCCGGCGTAAATGGAGGCGTACCATAAATTTCGTGTGTGTTTTGTTCTCGTTTTTGCAACCGGAAGCAAGGAAATAACGCTGGCTTGGTTAAAAAATTCGAAAAATTTTTAAAAAAGTAACTTTCACCCGTTTCTATCTTTTAAATAATTTCTATAAGAAATCCTGCGTGTTTTGTTCATTTTTGAAACTTGAAGATAAAATAATAAAGATAACTTCGTTAAAGAATCAAACAAAACAAAAAAAAGTAATTTTCAGCGTTTTACAGCATAAACAAGCTCAATCTCGGCTCACTTCTGACTTCAACTTGTATACCCTTTGTAGTTCCTTACGTCTTTAGCTCAAAACCTAACCTGAACGTTATATTTTTACTATTTTGCTCAAAATTAACTGATTTTCTCAACACCGTAACCAGGCAGCGCCCCGACTACGCGACAACACTAACAACGACGCTCTTTTATGCTGGCGTGTCGGCCAGGGGAAAATCTATTCAGCACGTTTCTAGATAGTTTTTTAGGCTTTTTCTTGTGATTTTTGAAGGAAATATTGACTGAAACTACTTGTTTCCAGAAATGGAACCACCTACAATCGCGCCTCGGCCAAGTTGGGCCCCAGATGATGGCCCGGCCGCCAAATGGATCAAGGGGCCGATGGATTTGGCCGCCTGGAAGCGATCGCTGGCCCACCGTGACTATCTCGACTTTTTGCACCGCGTAAACGATGCTGTCGCCGGCAAGAAGACGAGCCAATGGGTACCGCAAAGCCCTGGTGTTCAGAAGGTTGATTTCGTATCTCTATAATTCATGAACAGTTCAGACCCTTTTGAAAGATCAGGCTCATGATCTTTTTCAGGTGATGTCAATGCTGGAAGTCATCAAGGGCTACACCGACAAGCACCCACCGGAAGCTGAGATGCAGCAGCGCTACGGGAACAAGGCATATCGCAAGTGGTACGCGGAATTAACGGAGAACGCCAAGGAACTTATCAATGACGTGCTCGAAGAAGTGGAAAATGATGGTGCTGCCGCAATGCTGGAGCCGTATTTGCTGGACTCTTTCGGTAACCAAACCCGGATCGACTATGGCTCTGGCCACGAGGCGGCATTCATCATTCTGCTCCTATGCTTTGAAAAGATCGGCCTCTTCACGCCGGAAGATCTGCCAGCCGTTGGCCTGATGATTTTTGGAGAATACCTCCGCGTGTGCCGCCATCTGCAACGGTTGTACAAGATGGAACCGGCAGGTTCGCACGGAGTCTACAGCCTCGACGACTATCAATTCGTGCCCTTCCTCTGGGGCTCATCCCAGCTAATCGGCTCGAATTTCGACCCCAACAACTATCCGCAACCCGAAAAAGTGCAGGACCACGACATGGAATCGCTGTTTCTGGAAGCGATAACCTACATCAACGACACGAAAACGGGCCCCTTTTACGAGCATTCAAATCAACTTTGGAACATCTCGGCGGTGCCGAATTGGGACAAGATCAACTCGGGATTGTTCAAGATGTACGAGGCAGAAGTGCTGCTCAAATTCCCCGTTGTACAGCATTTCCTCTTTGCAAGTACTTTCAATTGACCCCGGTGCCCGATGAGAACTAGTCATTCGTTCTGCGTTTGTATGTATATATTCCTTTAGAGTCGGTTTGCTTGATCTTGACGTTGCCAATGAATTTTTTGCTGTTGTTTTCCAGTCATCTCATAATTTTCACACGTGTGCTCGGTGTTGCTAAAGCTGAAATTTAGGGCCTCGACCGAGGGATGGCATCGGCTGCGACGCAAGAGCTCGAAGGTCTCAAGGTCAGCGAGAAGAAGCCGAAAATTATGGGAAGAGTAGTACTGGCGCTCGGCGACATCACGCACCACAATATCAATCAATTAAAGGAGATTAACCAGGTTCGTTGGGATTTTCTATATGTTTTTTTTGCATTTTCCCTTATTTGTGTGAATTAACTGATTTTCAGTCTGTCTTCCCCGTCTCCTACAACGAGAAATTCTACACGGACATTGTGAATGCCGGGGAACTCGCCAAATTTGCCTACTTCAACGACATCGTTGTCGGGGCCGTCTGCTGCCGATACGACAAATTCGAAGACGCGAAGGTTCGTGTTTGCTTTCCATCTATTAATTGTTTTTTAGAGCCTCTACATCATGACGTTAGGCACTTTGGCCCCGTACCGCGGTTTCGGAGTCGGCACGATGCTGCTCAACCACATTTTTGACATATGCAAAAAGGACCCAGTGATCGAGAACGTTTTCCTTCACGTGCAGGTTTGTTAATAATATTCTACAAGATTTACTTGTAATTTTAGATTAACAATGAAACCGCCCTGGATTTCTACAAGAAGAACGGGTTCGAGGTGCGCGAAATGGTGGAGAAGTACTACAAGCGGATCGAGCCCGACAGCGCCTACCTGGTCGTGAAAAAGCTCAAGTAATTTTTAGTTCCACGCATCACTCTTTTGTTTCCTAGTTGTTCGATTGTCGTTGTTGATCGTTTCCTTGATTCTAGCTCATTGTTCTGTTCGCCTTTCTCTCGCAGCACCGTCTCGTAAATTATCGTTTTCAATGCTGCCCTTTTTCCCTCACCCGATTGATCTTACGGGTAGCCCTGCCCTTATTTTATCGATGTTCAGCCTTTCGAATAAATGTTCTAACATTAAAATTTTTATTTTTAATTATCACAAAGTTATGGCAAGATATGAGTATGTGTGAGCTGCAGCACCAAGATGATTGAAGAAATGCTAGACGATGGGGTTGGCTTTGTGGTCCTTCGACAGCTGGCCGAGGTCGCAGATGAGAGCCCAGATTGCCTGGAAATGGACACTATTGTTTATTTTATACCTTATTTAATTGATTGATCTGAGTTTTATTTACCTGTGATCTTCGCGCACAGGCCTGACCAACATAGTCGTCAGGTGCAAGAGTTGTAGTAAGCTGGAAAAACCGACACCTTTAAAATAAATCTCACACAAACAAACCCCTGGCAGTGGCAGGCCGGTTGTGAATTGACTGGGTTTTCCAGTGGTTGGATCACTTCTGAAAGATTTTTTAAGATTTCAGGACCATAAAAACAACTGGTTATTAAACTGGCTTACTCATCATCTCCATCGGGGAACAACGGCGGCTCGGGGAAGATTTCTAAAAACGTTCATTAATTTCTGGAGCTGAGAAACCTACCAATTTCTTTAAACGTGGTTTTTTCTGGTTCCATGGTCGTTTCGGCTTCACTTGTAGAAAGAGTAGACTCGGTTTCCAGCTAGAATTGTTGCATATGATTGGATTCAAGCTGTTTCCCTGACCGTTGCCGGCGTCGAATCCGGGAAAACCGAGTAAAAGTTTTCAGTTGTTGGCTCCGGAGGCTCGAGTGTCGTTTGTGCGCTTTCTTGAGTAGATTGTGCCTCCGATTCTGTCGTGACCTCCTTAAAAAACCCATTTTCGGGACTTCGTTTCACGTACCGTCGGCTCGGAATCGGTTTCGGTTGTTCTTTCCGTAGTGAGGGTTACAATTTCGGGCGTTGAGTCTGGGGACACCGGAATCGTCGGCCAGGTGACGGCTTCAGAAGTTTCCGTTGTTTCTTAATGAAAATTACAGGAAATTTGGTTTTAGATAGCACCTGCTGTGGCTTCTGGGGTATCTGGGTAGTCTGTAGATGTATACGAGATCGTAGACAGTTCCTAGAAATTCGTTTTCGATCGATATAAAAAAGTTCTAGGGTTTTGGATCGGGATTTTTAAATCCCAACCTGATCAGGTCCGGTGACGATCGTCTCCGGCCACTCTTCAGTAGTGGTTTCTAAACGTTAGCAAGTAATCAGTAATTTTAAAGGGTTTTCCGATTTTTAAGTTTTGTTAGTCGTATCCTAGCTTACCTGCTGTTTCCGTAGTGCTCATTTCCGGTAAATCCGTGTCAGGCGTGATAGAATATGTCGACTAAAAAGCTTCATTATGCTAGTTTTCTGTGTTGGTTTTCCTATTTGCTCTTCTAAAAAACTTTCTAAATTTTGAAACGCCTTTGTAAATTTTGAGAAGACCGAAAATAACTCGCCCAAGGAGCTTCCGTTGTTTCCGCGGCGCTTTCTGAGGTATTTGAGCTGGGAACAGTGTCCGGATCTATCAAAAAATTCAGGAAAACATAGGAAAATTACAATCAGTGTCGACCCAGTCTGTATCATCGCCTTTACTCGTCGTCGCCTCAGTCGTTGGGGCGGTTACAGCTGTTTGCGTGCTTTAAAAGATTGATATATTTTAATATGTGGTTAGTGTACGTTTTGATGTGGTGACAGTTGTCCAGGTTCCGGTCGTTTTCCATGGGGATTCGGTCGGGGCTCCTGAAGCAAAATGCCTTGATAAGTTCCGAGGTTGTTTTCGTTGGTAGTTAGTTATGCATGTCGGGTTATAATCGGTTTCTTTCAAAATGTCGAAAATGATAATGCCGAAATTCAGAATGTCGAAATTTACATAAGATAATTTTCCCGGATAAACCCCCGAATGCTATGCAAAAAAAATGTCGACATTCTGAATCTCGTAATTCTGACATTTCACATTCTGAAATTTCGACATTATGACATTTCGGCATTCTGAATTTCGACATGAGCAAGTCCGTTATAATCATTAATATTTAAGTATAAAATTTGAAAGTAATCTTACCCGGATTTTCGTTTTCCGAATGCAGAAGCGGCTTCAACTCCGAGGTATCGATAGCGACACACCCCTTCTGGGCCCCGCCCGTGTTAATGGTCAATGGCACGCGCTCGCTGAAAGTAGGAGAGGTCTACCCTATCCTTAGCATCCTCACATTTTGCCGTTTTTGGTCTTGGCCTCGACGATCAGGCATCGGTCCTGGTTTTCCGGGGGCAGCCGCTCGGCGTAGATCTCGCCTGAATTAGGTTTTTGTCAAGCAGGCGTCTAGAGGAGTGTAGCGTAGCCTAGGATAGAACAGACCCGTTTGACTGTCGATAGCGTAGGTGACATCGCCGGTGCGGCTGTATAACGCGTATTCCAATGGACTGCCGTCCGGGGTGTACGCTGCTACACTTCCAACTTTGGACCCGGGCGTTGGCCACGATTCCGGGAGTACTGAAAACGAATTTTTGCTATTTTTTGAAACGGTTTTTTTTGTACGGGACTGTTAGCAGGGGGAAACTAATTTTTAGTTTTTTTTTTGCGCCTAGGCCTGCCTGTTAATAGTAAATAGTGTATCTCTACGATGATTTTAGTAATTTTTTTGGATGCTAGAAAGTTACAAAAATATTTTACACATTTTCAAAAAAGCGGAATTTTTTGGCTTCCTTTTCCAAAAAGTTTAAATTTTTATAAGTTTTATGCCTTTTTTATAGCTAAAACCTTAGTAAAATACTATTCAATTGTTCACATTTTGTTAAAGCACCGTATAGGATTACTGGGAAAAATTAGTCCCCCCCTGCTAGTCCAGGACCCCTATTTGCATACACTGAATCCGATAAGATCCCTTCTCGAAAACCGGCTCGTCAAACTGGGCCGGATCCCCGAAGATGGCCTCGTAGGAGATGGTGTTCAACGGCAATGGCAGCGTCGCCTCCTTATCGATAAAGTTTAGCGAGTTTCCCTCAGCCTCGGTCCACCGGGCGCCGTTCAGGTTGCGTTGCGTAGTGGAGAGTTTGGCGTCCACCTCGGTTAGCCTGAGAAATTGGGGGTAACTCTAGATTGAGCGCCGTAGATACCGTATCAAGCGGAACGTTGATGGCATGGCCGGGAGTTGCACTTTGCCGAGAAGCGATCCGGAAAATGCCGTCGATTCCGGGTTGGAGAAGACGGCCAGAATGTGCTTGTAGGGTCGGCCGTCGGCGGTGGAATCGGTGCTGGTTGTCTGGAATACCATAGGATTGAGGTATTAGGCCGTAATGTAACGTAAAAGATGCGTACGGTACGCTGCTAGTACCTTAATATTTTGGAGATGAATCAGGTTCGTGACGGCGGCCGTCGCGGTGTCGAAGAAGAATTCGGGTTGCGGTGTGTCCAGCGGAGAAATGAGGAGACCTAGGGTATACAGTTGATTCTCTGAATTTGTTATACCTTTATTGAGCAGCTGCTTGACAGTGAACGCCTTGTTGTCGTCGAGGGGTAGCAATTTGCCGCCAGCAAGCACTTGAGCTCGGATTGACGAAAGTTTTCCCTATAAATGCAAAGGTAAGCCTTGTATTAAGCTCAGGCTTAGGTTTAGGCTTAGTTTAGGCTTCGGCTTGGGCTTGGCTTATGCATTAACAATTCTCCCACACCTACCACGTCCAGTGCTGAAATTTGGTACGCAGCTGTCTTCGTAGCGCCCGGTCTGATCGTGCCGAGCTCGTAGCTGAGCGCTCTATAAAAATTACTTAAAATAATTTTTTATTAATCACAATAACGTGTGAAATACCATTTTTATATACACACAAGAATAGAAGGAGCATTAAAACTAATACCCATTTCTCTGTCTCCCATCCACCGCCAGGCCCTCGATGCGGTAGCCGACGGGGCCAAGGTTAGGCCCCAGGATCTCCAACGCGGTGTTGATCACTTTCACGTTGTCGAGGGGGACGTAGCTGAACAAAAACCACAAGGATTATTCACCAATTGCCTTCTCAATCCCTTTAAAACTTGCTAAGGCTCACCCCTTGTTGGCAAAGATTGCGGTAATGTTGAACAGCTTCGAGTCGTCACCATTGGACTTAAGGAGGTAGTAGACCTGAAAATGGGTCTAGAAACAGGTTGGAACCTCCTTAAGAATCCCTGCTAGATTGCCCAAAAGGGGCGGCGGCAAAGGCAAATAAATAACGGGCGGGAAAAGAAATGTTTTTTTTCCCCCCCCCCCGGGGCCCCCCCCCTTTTTGGCATTATTTGGGGGGGGGGGGCTTAAATCCAAAACTCGTGCGCGTTCAAGAATTCCGGCTGGGTTCTCCCCTCCCTGACTTGTAAGTTTGGCTTTGGCGTAATCTTCAAGTCCGGGGTCTCGAGCTTTTGTATCGTTCGCGTGCCCTCGTTTTCGAACGAGATGACGACGATCGGCTATAAGGTGACAAGAATAGTAAGGTATAATCGATGGTACCTGATAAAATACGTCCCGTTTTAGCGGGAGTACGGGGGCTGTTGTGTACTTTGCAGTTGCGCGGAATGAGGTGCCGGCTGGTAGGCTTTGAGTTCCGTCGAGAGCGAAGATACCTGAAGGAGATTTGTCACAGGCAGGCTGGGGGGGATAGGGGGGGGGGGGGGGGGGGGGCAGGCTAGCAGAGATTGTTGAGGAAGAGGAGAGGGGCAGGCTAGCAGAGATTGTTGAGGAAGAGGAGAGGGCAGGCTAGCAGAGATTGTTGAGGAAGAGGAGAGGGCAGGCTAGCAGAGATTGTTGAGGAAGTGGAGAAGTCAGGCAGACATTCCCACACCTGTATACGAAAAGATCCCGGTCGCGAATTTAACTTCCGGTGTATACGCGTCCGCCCGAATCCACTCGATTTTCAGGTTCACCCCGGTGAGGGAGGTTCTCTAAAAGACACTTGTCTCCGTTTTAGCGACTAACCCTAAGGTTCCTAAATTGCACCCGCAACGTCACCATCCCGTTCTCCACCACCGTGTCGGGTTCGACGAGCACGAACGCCTCGGCGCAGGCGTCGTTCGATTTTTCCGTTCCCATTGCCAATTTGCCGAAGTAGGCGTGTAGTAGGGCGAATGGGTTTGGGGCACCGGCCTGGAATTGGTACGCTTCAGAATAGACTTAGGCTTGGGCTTAGGTTTTCGAAACTCCGCAAACCTGTCGACTGAGCGCCTTCAACTTGTCGGCAGAGGACACGACTTCGTGGACTTGGTCGTAGGTTACGGTCGGGTTCGGGAGAGCCTGAAAAAAGTGTTCGTTACAGGGAAATTCTAAGAAACTCTGCTAGCTTGCCATTGAGGTTGAATTTGCACTAGGGAAGCTAGCAGTGATTCTTGAGGATGAGTAGCTCTCATTTTAGTGAAACTAACAAAGTTTTAAGCATAAGAAGTGAGCATGCAAGGATTTCAGGGAAGGATCTTTTAACATAGATCCTTTAAAACTATCCCCACCTCAAACGGCAAAATCTTCCCCGCCGTCCACTCCGTCACCGAGTTGTTCCACGTCGCAGCCAGGTTTTCGACAGCCGAGCCTGAACCCCGGTTGTCAAAAACATTAAATCCACTCTAACCTTTCTGGCCCAACTCCAGCTTCTCGGTCTTCCAAATTGCCGGGCCTCCGGCCGAGGAGTCGGAGATCGCCTTGAAAAACTTGTTCCACTCCTGGGCGCTGATCGCTCGCAATTGATCGAAGGGGATGATTGACTGAAGGTAAGAAGCTTAATAGATACCTTCAAAGCGATCAACCTCCAAATTCTGCAAAAATTGCATAAAGTGCGCGGCGTAAGAGATGGCCTGGGCGTCGATGGCATCCGAGGAGGGGTCATTTTGCTCGGAAACCTCAAAATATCGGTTATGTTATGGCTTAATGGATGAAAGCGTAGACTTAGCGTAACTACCTCCATGTCCCTCGTTTTCCGCTTGTTTCCGTTGTTTAGAGTATCATTTTTGTGAATTAGGGAAGCTCTTTTGGCTCGATGGCGAGGCAGAGGGCAGGTTGCGTCGAGAGAAGCCAGACAACTAAATCCAATACATGCCATAAAAATCCAGGTTCTTTCGCCTTATCGGAGGGGGGGCGAAATCTTAGGCTTAGGTTAGATCTAGAAATACCTGGTAACTTAAGAGCAAGTGTTGTAAGACTGTTTTCAGTAATAGATAACTGTACTTCAGCTAGAAAAAATATCTTAGAAACTTTTAAAGAAGACGAATTTTTGAAAAAACTGGCCATATTTGGTCGAAACATCGATATTTTTGATCTTTTTTTATTAAAAATTTGTAAAGTTTTCACGTTTAGGAATAGTAAAACCCATTTAGAATCACTTCCACCCTCTATATTAAACTGTCCCCAAACGAAAGAACCGAAATCCATAGTCAAAAAATCGATTTTCATACATTGCCAGTCCCTTTAGCCCGATACCCTTACCTAACTGACGTCAGCAAGTCCTCAAAGTACACTTGCACCTGCTGACACTCGGCGACAAGGTGGAGAATCTTAAAAAGATTTTCAGAAACTCTTTATCCGCTACCATCGCCAGATTCTCAAGCGACGTGGTGTCGTCGGCAACCTTGGCCCAACCCTGACCGCACGCCACTGGGCTCTCGTATTTTTCGCTGAAATTTTTAGGTATTTTTGTGGTATTTTAATTTAAGGGCTGCGAAGGTCCCTTGAAAAGGGCTTACCGGCACTCGCGACGCACCGCAGCCGCGCAGTTGCACTGGACGATGGTTTTGCTTGCGACCGTGGTCCGATCGAAGTTGGCTAAATGGGATGGGCATAGGCTTATGCTTCAGCTTAGGGGTAGACTTCGGCTTTAGCTTAGGCCTAGGCTTTGGGGTCAGGCTTAGGCTTAGGCTTAGGCTTAAGCATAGGTTCTAGGCTTGCTTAGGCCTAGGCTTACTTAGGGGCTTGTGCTAATGATTAATAGCACTTTTAAAGCCGAAACACTTACCGTCGCACAATAATTTTGGCTTCTCCGTCTTCGCCAATATCAGCTGAGCCTCAAGCCCGATTTCCCTCGATCCATTCCTGGCCACACGGTACGGGATTTGCAGCAGTATTGCTTCACATTTGGCACTGTTGCTAAAGTGCGCCAAAATCTCACCTTGACTTTAAAACCCACCTAAATAACCTGCCCGCTCGGTTTACGGCCAGCTCGGCCCGTGTTGATCCGCCCATCACCAGCGCCGATTTGGGAGGTTCCTGGGGGCTAATGCTAATTTAGATTCGCGTACTTACCAATTTTATATTGTCGTCCTCGAAGGCGTGGAGGATCACAAACGTGTCCTTGCTAGCCGGCCCATCAGCGTAGAGCTCGAGCTCAGAGGTTCCGATTTGGATCACTGAAGGGTCGAAGAGGAGTTGAGGAAGAGGGGAGCGCTGAAAGGTATAGGTAGGCTGGCTTAGGCTTAGGCTTAGCCTTAGGCTTATACAAGGCTTACGCTTGGTCTTAGGCTTAGGCTTATGCCTGCGCTTTCCTCTTACCTCTGAAACCACCATCTTCCCAACCGACAAACCATCTGCCCCGAGGATCGGCATGACGTTCGACGACTTTGTACGAAGATGAACGCAGAACGAAGCGTTGGACGGGATTGCCTAAAGACTTAGACCCTCCGAAGCAACCGTACCAAGATTGGCTCCTCGTACTTCTCATGCGAATCCGAGTAGATGGTCAGCTGATAGTAGCCGGGGTAGAGGGTGAAGATTTGTGGGGGTCCTGAAGGGGTTTTCGGACTCACTGAAGCCTTACCATTAACTACAGCACCCCGGGGGTTCATCACCGCCTTGCTGAGGCTGTTCACCAAGTCGATTTGGGCGTTTGCGGCCGCGGAAACGGTGTTTAGGAAGTTTTCATCCTGAATTCAGAGTAGTTTCTCGAATTACCAGCTTGACCAAACCTTCAGGCATATGGCCAGGTTGAACAGCTCGGTCTCGCGCCGTGAAAAGGTGTACGGTATGCGGAGGATCGTCTGAAAAATTCAGTATTTCTGCTATAAAATATAAAACTCACATCAGTGCGATAGACTATCCTGATAGTTCCGTTTTGCTTGTTTCCGCTTGGCGAGGCGCCAAGGGTCAGCGTCAGTCCGGAAACGCTATTCGAATACTCAGCGTAGTCGCTGAAACTTGATGATTTGATGGGTTTTTTAAGGCGGTTTATCAGAGCTTCTCTAGGAGTCAAGGATCAAAGAGTAACGGCTAGCCTGCCCTCTCCTGTTCCTCAACAATCTCTGCTAGCTTACCCAAATCCTAATATTTTAACTCTCACTTCAACGGTGGATCCGATCCGATCAAATAGAAAGGGCTTGGCCGGGTGTCGTAGCCCAACTCGATCGGCGAGTAGAAGGTCGTACCCGAAGTATCGAGCCGTACCTTAAAGTGTTCTTTCCACTTCTCCAGGTTTCCTCAAGAATCGCTGCTAGATTGCCATACCCACCTGTATAGTCGGCAGTGCATTATACACCAGCGGCACAACGAGCGACTCAGGAATTGCAGTCAATATACCTTTCGCTTTCTTCGTAGTCACTGCCAGTCTAAACACGACATTTTCAAAGGGATCTTAATATCATTAATTCTAGAAAAGCAACCAACTACCTGATCACATAGCTAAAACCCCCATCCGCTACCAAAATCAAGGTAATCGGCCCGGAGAAGCCATCGTCGATGTCGAACTTCACGATGATACGTGCGGCCTCGCGGGGACCGATGGAGGGTGGTATCTGGAAGAACCAAAATATAACCTTTTTCCGAGGATTTAATTTCAAATCCAAGTAGTAGAAGTGTTTTTAAATCCATTTTTTACTATTCCTAAACGTAAAAACTTTACAAATTTGTATTAAAGGATATCAAAATCATCAATTATTGAAATACTGAAATATTATACTGAAAATGGTCGTTTTTGACCAAAATCCACCGTTTTAGAAGTTTTTGGTTATTTTACTGGTTGAAATATAGCTATATATTACTGAAAACACTATTAAAACACTTTCCACTAAGTTACTAGGCATTTCTAGAATTATATAAGAAAAGTTCGGAAAAATTACTGACCCTTTCGATCTCGGCGACAGCTATTCCCTCCGTGACCGTCTGTACCTGCCAGCCTGATAGCACGCCGTCACCGGTATTCTGGACCTCAAATTCCAGCCCTTGCTTCAGCTCCTCAATCGTTGGCCTGAAAAAGAGAGATATCGCTCGTTTTAAGAGCACTACAACAGCTTTGCACCCACCGATCGTGATACGTGACTTTGACCGAGGGATTGGCCCACGATAACTCGACTCCATTGCTCGAATCGTCAACTTTCACACCAGGATGGTGGGCCGTCTAGAAGAAAATTGAGGGTTCCTTTAAAAAACCATACCACGGCATAGACACCTCCATATTGTGGGGTGTACTCGAAGGAGAAACGACCGCTTTCGTCCGTCATTACCGTATATTCCTCGACGCCGAGGTCAGCATCTTGACGTCTGATACGGATCGCGACCGGGCGATTGGCGAGCGGCTAAAGCTTTGGGTTTAGCTTAGGATTAGGTTTAAGCTTAGGCTTGCGCTTAGGCTTAGGCTTAGGCTTATGCTTGGGCTTAGGCTTATACTTAGGCGTGGGCATAGGCTTCATTCATTCCCTGTATTTCAAACCTTGTCGATTCGCCCGTAAATTCGTCGTTTTTGCGTGTTGCCGACAATCTCGGTGCCTTCGACCGTAGCCTGGTAGCTGGGCGCAACACTAAAACACTATACTGTGACTCTCGAGGCCTCCAAACCCGATTTCCCATTCGATAGCTTCGGATTTGGCGGGGGTCAACACGTCGAGCTTCACCTGGTAAGCCTCGGAAGAGCCTGAGATATAAATCAATTTGGAAGCAAACCCTAATACCTAGAGGCCGGTCCCATTCTACCGTATTCTGACCAGCATCATAGCGTAACCCAGGGGCTGTTGAGGAGAGCTTGACGACCGAGTTGGGCTGAAAATAGGCTAGGCTTAGGCTTAGGCTTAGGCTTAGGCTTATGCTTGGGCTTAGACTTAGGCTTAGGCATTTAGAACCCAGAAACACGTACAACCACTGGAAGATGCACGACATACGGCTCCCCTTCAACGGCTTCGTTCGCCCGCTGGTTTTTGATAAAAGTCCGGTCAACCGGGGCGAGCAGTTCAACCTGGAAATGCACACAGGGAATAGATGTTTTTTTGCTTGGACAAAACGTACCGTCGAGCAAAAAGGTCCAGTTTGGTCTAGCTCGCAGACGCACAACGGGCCCAGCGCGGCCCCCTTGCAGCTGTCGGGCGCCTTTTCGGTGAAGGTGAAATGGACGGCCCCGTGGCCGCCAATGTTTTGCAGCGAGCCTGTAGGCTGTAGACTGAAGACGTGGCGACCGGGTGGCATGTCTGGAATTTACATAATTGGTAAGAGGCAGGCTAGCAGAGATTGTTGAGGAAGAGGAGAGAGCAGGCTAGCAGAAATTGCCGAGACCCACCTTCCGGTAGGCTACACCTGACGAGGTGACTGTTGATGTATTTTCCGGGGGCTGTGGAAGTACCGTAGAGACAGCGATAGGTGGCGTCACTAGAAACGTTAAATGAAGGATTATAAACGTTTGTCAAAAAAAATGTTACCTCGGCAAATCCTGGCCGTACACACTGACTATCCCATTTCCCTGGCCAACATCCGCCTTTTGGGGCAGAATATAGGAAATGGAGCTGTCGGTGGGGCAGGAATTGGTCGGGCAAACATCACAGGCCGCCCCAGTCCAGCCATTGGTGCATCGGCAAGTGCTAAAAGAGCATTAAAATGAGTGAAAAAATGCTGCAACCAACCTGGACTCGGCATCACATACTCCGTGCTTACATTCGGGCTCGCAACCGACGCACTCCTTCGTCGCGCACTTCTCGCATTCAGCGCCTTAAGTGAAATTTTATGGTGTGCTTAGGCTTGGGCGTCGGCTTGGACTTATTCTTTAGCTTAGGCTTAGGCTTAGGTTTAGGCTTAGGTAGGATAAGCTACCTGCATAATCAGCAAAACATTTGCATTGAGCTGGCCCGACGCATATCCCGCTGTAGGAGCACTCGTTGGCACATTGACCAAGGCTGCAGTGCTTTCCCGTCCAGCCAGGTTCACATTTACAGATGCCGGCCTAAAAAAGGTGATTTTAAAGGAACAGGGAAGCAAAAACGAGATTATAACCACTACCTCACAAAACCCGTGTTCGCAGTTCCTCGTCGAGCACAATTCCAAAGAGCAGTCATTTCCTGGAACGTATCCAGTTCATTTTTGCGTGATTTAGATATGTTGCAAAGCGGCGTAATTACCAGAAAATCCCTCCTCGCATTTGCATATGTCGCTCGAGGTACAGTAGCCGTGACCAGAGCAGTTTTTCAGTTGAGGCAGATTTCTGTTGAATTTTTTGTTTTTGAAAGTCCGAAGAGAAATTACCTAGCGAACAGTCGATCCCGGTCCAGCCACCAAAACATTCGCAGCGCGAGCCGATGCAGCTTAAAAATGTGATGACGGCAATCTCACAAACTCTCCTCTCTCTCTCTCTCTCACTCTTCTCCCTATCGCTTGCTCTTTCTCACTTTCTCCCTCTCTCGCTCTCCCGCTCTCTCTGTTTCTCTCTCCCTCTCGCTTGCTCTCTCGCTCTCTCGCTCTCTCTCCCTCTCTCTCTTTCTCTCACCTGCCATGCGAACACTCAACAGTACACACGGCCGGCAGAAGCTCCGTGCAATCCTCTCCGGAATACCCGGCTTGGCATAGGCAGCCGGATACTATAAAATAAAATTTTTACGACTATACAATTCTTTATGTTGTGGTGATGAGCCTTTTTTTAAATTTTCCCCCTTAAAAACTAACGTGTACATGTACCATGTCCGCCACAATCCCCTGGACAGGCCGTTTCGGTGCCTTCCGGGAGCGTGCGGATGGTAGCCGGATCCACCGGGATCGCCCGTGGTGGGATGACGCTGATTTGGGCATCTGAAAGTCTGGTTATTAGCTTAGTCTTAGGCTTAGGCTTAGGCTTGGGCTTAGGCTTAGGTTTGGATTAGGTTTAGGCTTAGGCTAGGCTTAGGTTAGGCTTAGGCTTAAACTCGGCTGCTCACCATCACAAACCCGTCGCTCCTCGCTGCACGATATCTTCTGCTTAATCGCCTCAATCGCCTGCGTGCCCCACACATTGTCGCCGAGGTGCAGTTGCTGAAAAGTGCAGCTACCCGCCGATACGCCTCACAAACCCCAGCTCCGGTGAACAAGACCTCAAAGGGAGTCTGAGGGTCCCGGAATTCGTTGCCGTAGATTCTATAAATGGGCTACAAAATTCAAGCTACAAGCCTTACCTATAGCTATTGGAATCGACCTCCAGCACGGCCTCGTTATTAGCGTTTCCGGTGAAAGTGTTGCCATAGAGTGTTCCGTTGAACCTATTTTTAAAACAAAAATGATTTGTATTTTAAAAACCTTACCTTTTTCCGGAACCGTTGCTCAGCTCGAGGGTGGAACGCGAAGCCGTGTTACCGTTGAATTTGTTGGCGAATATGGCCACTTTTGAGATGGGGTTATCCTAAAATTGATGGTAAGGTATCGACAGATCAATGACAAAATTGACATTAGGTTCTTTCGCATTATCGGGGGGATTTTTCTTAGAATCGAATTTTTCCAATATAAATAGGGGAAGGGTTTATAAATGGTTTTATACGATTCCTAAACGTAAACTTTACATATTTGTATTAAAAACATCAAAAATATTGATTTTTCGATCGGTTTTTACCAAAATTTCGACTTTTTAAAAGGTTTTTGGATAATTTTTTAGTGAAATTTTAGTCATACATTCTTGCGTTATTAAAACACTTTTTTACCATTTACTGGGAATTTCTAGATTTTTACAAAAAAAAAGTTAGGTCCCCCCCCCACTCCCGGATAACGCAAAAGAACCTGGCATTCTATTTATGATATTATTTACATTGCGGTGAGCTTAAGCTTGCTCCTCGGCATAGACCTACATCAATTTTCGGTGATATCCCAATCTTGAGCAGCGCGTCGTCGGGCCCGGCACTGTTCCGCTCCACCGAGTTGGCCAGAAGCTAAAAAAGAAGTCAGAGCTTTTTCTGAAAACTTACCTGAGCCCCGGCACATTCTCCGAGGTCGAGCTTCAGCGGTTGTGCTGTGTTCTCCACGAAATTTGCGCCGATGATGCGCAGGTTGGAGGGGACGGCGCCGCACTAAAGGGAGTCTTGTGAGAGAGAGAGACAGAGAGAGAGAGAGAGGAGAGAGAGAGAGAGAGAGAAGAGGAAGAGAAAGAGAAAGAGAGACATACGGTAAATCCTAGGTCTAGGGACGGAATTGCGTTGGCTTGTAAGCTCCCTCCAATGATGTCGACTTGCGGTGCGGAACCACGATAGTAGACGCCAGAACGGCCCGTACTTTGGCGCCTACAGTACGCACTGAGTATCAGTACTACCCAATAACTCACAAAACAGTAACGTTGATCAGGCTTAAAGCTTCAAGTTTCACCGCTGGGTCCTCGACGACACGGATGGCAAATTCAGATTTTGGTCCGCTGCCGGAGACCTGAATGGCGAAATAAGATTTGGCTTAGGCTTGGGCTTCGCTTGGCTTAGACTCAGGCTTGGGCTTTGGCTTCAGGCTTGGGTTAAGCTTTGCCTAAGCTTAGGCGCAATCTAGCTAGAACTTAGGCTTAAACTTACAGGGTGCGTCAAAAAAAAAGAACGAAGTTTGCACTGAAATATCTCGCTGGGAGAAACGAATCGGACCATGGTTACCTTGCCAGAATGCTTAAATATGCTGGGCATGAAGAAAACACAAGTTGTTTTTTAAGATTTTTGACGACCAGTCGTCGTTAAAAAGTTTTCAACATTTTTGAAAAAGTAAAAAACTTTGAAGACGAAAATAATGGAACTTTTAATGAGTTAGGGGGACATGTAGGGTATCAAAATGAAGCCCTCGGAATGCGCTATTAAACGCATCGTAAATATTATTGATCGATTTAACTAGGCGTCAATAGGAGCCTTCGGAAAGTCCGGAATTTCCGAGAAAGGGCGATTCCGTGTTGACCATATAAAGCCCATTGCCCTCATAACTTTTTGTATTTATTAAATGTAAAGCTGTTTGTCAAAGCTAATCATGTGACAATTTTAACTATATCAACGTAAAACTTGCAGTTACGGCCGACTTGGCAAGAGGCCAAAAAAATTTTTTGATCGGGATTCTCAAAACCTTGATGCCAAAAGTTAGAACTTATATATTCATTGCTAAATGCAAAATATCAGAAAGATCGGATGGTAAGGAAATTTTATCTGGAATTTTTTCTTCAAAAAGTCCGGATTTTCCGAAGGCTCTTATTGACGACTAGTTAAATCGATCAATAATATTTACGATGCGTTTAATAGCGCATTCCGAGGGCTTCATTTTGATACCCTACATGTCCCCCTAACTCATTAAAAGTTCCATTATTTTCGTCTTCAAAGTTTTTTACTTTTTCAAAAATGTTGAAAACTTTTTAACGACGACTGGTCGTCAAAAATCTTAAAAAACAACTTGTGTTTTCTTCATGCCCAGCATATTTAAGCATTCTGGCAAGGTAACCATGGTCCGATTCGTTTCCCCCAGCGAGATATTTCAGTGCAAACTTCGTTCTTTTTTTTTGACGCACCCTGTAGACTTAGGCTTAGGCGTACCGTTACATTCTCCAGAGTCACGTTGCCAATCGGTTTCTCAAAATTCACACCGATCCCGTCGCTCTGCTCAATTTTTAAATTGCTAAAAGGAAAACATGTTGCATATTGTGATTCAACTACCTAATTTTGACACCATTTCCTCGTTCCTCCACGTAAAGGCCGATAGTCTGAGCGCCGGTTACCGTGGTACCACCCAGATCGACGACAGGCTCTGGAATTATTATAAAGTGCCATTTTTAAGGTCTATAGTATATCCAGAATATATATTTGGAAAAATCAGGAAGAATTAAAGTTGTTACCCGAATTCTTGGTTAACACAATTCCGGCATCCGTTGGGTTTGTAATTTTCAAATTCTCAAAAAGGATATTTGGTGTGTCGACAACGATTCCATCGATGGCATCTTGGACTTGGACCCCAGAGAGGATGGCTGTCGAGTCTAAATGAATTTTTTCCTCAAGGATCTCTGCTAGCCTGCCGGGTTCGTTAGAAAGACTTACTTGGCGTCAGCTCTATCCCAGGCCATTGGGCCCCTTCTTGGCTTCCGCCCAGCTTTATCGGTGTGGACGCCGAGCCATTCGCATATAGTTTTCCTGAAATATACCGTTGAAAAATCACATAAATAGTTATATAAATATAAAACAAAAGTTTCAAGCACAAAACGCACCAAGCACGATCAATTTGGCGTCTTTTAGAAATCGTATCTGAACGCCGGGCTCGATGATGACCACCTTGTCCTCGGGGATTGTCATGTTTTCGGCGACGCTGAAATTACATATTTTGTTAGTTATGAGATGAAAGCCTAAGCCTAAGCCTAATCTTAGGCCTGAGTCTAAGCCAAGCAGGGACGTAGCGTAATACAGGCCCCGGGGGCCCGGCCCCGAAATCGGCCGGGGCCTGAAAATTTCATAAGGGGGGACCCTTATGATTTTTATTTTCTCAAAAATTTTGCTGCCTGCGGCGCTATTTTTTCACGTTTTTACGGCTATTTGTAGAACTATGCAACCTTTTTTTCAAAAATTTTTGCCTGCGGCGCTGTTTTTTCGGCAATGTTTTGAGCTTTTTGGTAACATTTTTTGGGGGCCCCCCCGAAATTTTTTTCTGGCTACGTCCCTGAAGCCAAGCATAAGCCTAAACCTAATCACAAGCCTTAGTCTAAGCCAAGCCGAAGTCAAGCCTAAGCCGCGCTATGCGCAAAATGAAAACTTACACATAAGCGCGGCCATTGTTGGGGATCGTGTTGTAGAGGTGGGTGAAGGGAGGAATCGGTTGATTGTCTAAAGGTATTAAAAACTTCTTAATTTTTATAAAATAAGAATTTTAATTTCCCGTATTTTCCGTTTTTCGTCTTCCGGAAGGTATAAAATTTCTTAATTACTTTGAGGCATAGTGAAGGAAGATTTTGATACTTACCCTGAATCAAAAGTCCGCCCGTGTAGTTGGCAAACGGCAGATAGAGGGCCGCCGAGTTCGCGTCGGCACTGATGGCGCAGATTCGGAGTAAAATCTGTAGGATTGTATGTTTTCTATCGCTTGTATTTACCTCCTTCTCGGAACCTAGCGCCCAGTGATTTAGCCGGATATCATCGAGTGATGGCTTCCTGCTGGGGCCGCTCGTCACCTCGCAATTCGACTAAAAAATTAAAACATTCAGGGCAGACTAGCAGAGACCGCTGTGGAATTCCCGGAATTACCCTTTGATTATTGAAATAGTTATGCGAGATGTTCGCGGCGACCACGTCCGCGTAGATGACGTTAAATGCCAGATTCGCAAAAAAGTTGTTACCGCTGATGATTGTAGAGGGTGGGGCGGGGCCTAAAAGAAATTACAAGCTTTTTTCTTAAGTTTTTTTACCGCTCTGTGCCAACTTCAGCAACGATTCCATCGTATTTTTGAAGAAGTTGTTGTCGGTGATGACGATCGAAGTTTCTGGAATAGATTTCTGCTAGCCTGCCCTTCCCTCTTCCCCAACAATCTCTGCTAGCCTGCCCTCTCCTCTTCCTCAACAATCTCTGCTAGCCTGCCCTCTCCTCTTCCTCAACAATCTCTGCTAGCCTGCCCTCTCCTCTTCCTCAACAATCTCTGCTAGCCTGCCCTCTCCTCTTCCTCAACAATCTCTGCTAGTCTGCCCTCTCCTCTTCCTCAACAATCTCTGCTAGCCTGCCCTCTCCTCTTCCTCAACAATCTCTGCTAGCCTGCCCTACCTGGTCCTGCATTCACGTTAACGAGAGCCTCTCGATCCGCCCTAGCATTCATGTGATTTGAGGCGAACGTGTTCTGCTCGAGGTGTACGGTACCGTGAGTCAACGTTTCCAGGTGCAGCGCAGGGCCTGAGGTTCCAGCATTAATGGACCGAATTCCCTCTACCTCGGTTCCTTGTAAAATTCCCGCGATACAGCTTGATCTCGCAAGTGTCGCTTGGGCCGTCGATGACCAGAACACCTCGAAAGGGTTGGATCTTAGCTCCACGTCTAGTTACCGTCATGGTTGTCGTAGATGTGACACGAGTTCAGGTAGATTTCCGCGTTCTCACACGCGTCGAGTCGGACTAAAGGGAACGATGGGTTCAGCTTGCCTAAAAAACTTACTGGCTGGATGCGTGGCGTGGTTGGTGATGTTGACGCCAAGGAGATTGAACTCAGCTTGGGCTGAGTCTGAAAAATTAAGTTTGGCTTAGACCTAGGCTTAGGCTTCGCTTGGCTTAGACTTAGGCTTAGGCTTCATTAGAAAACCGACGCTTGCCAGACTGCATGCGTATCCCATGCTGCCCGTTGGCCCCTATTAGTGTGTTAGCGATGCTGACGGCCTGCGTGGTGTTGAACACGATCCCATCGCCATCGTTCGAGAAGACGTGCGAGTTGAGCAAGGCTAAAATACGTCTTTTGCAAGAATTACATAGATTTCCGGACCACGAGCTCCGAGACGCACCTATAGACGACACCCTTTCCACGTAGATACCGTGCAGTCGGTTCGAGGCGGCCAGGCAGGCGTCGAGCAGGATTGGTGTCTGAAGTTTAGGATATTTTCAGGTTGTCTAAACGTATTAATAAGAAATCGAAATACAGTTTATTTGCAAATTATCGCGTAGAAAATTAGGTTTTTCGATTTTTCGAAAATGTACTTGACGAAAATGCTGATTTCGATATCAGAAAATGGAAAATTTACTTGGAAATTCAGCGTTTGAGTTTGAAAGGTGCTAAAAAATGCGGCTAGGTTTGACGGTTTCAAGAGGCGTTAATTTACGATTCCGGTTTTTCGAATTTTTTGATTTGTGAAAAACGTAACCATCGCCTTCTCTGTTTTGGTGCAAACTCTCACGACCACAATACGAGCCCCCGGGCAGGGCAAAGAATTCTTTATTCAAATAGCTTTGCAGTAGAGGAAAGTGTGTGGGGTGGGGGGATGTACATAGACGCCAGCATCCAATCACAAACACGGGGACAGTACGGGGAGAGGTGTACAACATGGTACTTTTTCTGGTTAGGCGAAGATTCCGCGGAGAAGAGACATGGTAAAATAAGGTTTTGAAATGAGAATAGATTACTGGAAAATTCTGGTGATTGTCACAACGGAGCGCGAGTGATATTAGTGGTGGTACAGGGTGTCCCAACAAAAAAAACCCTGTAACTCGATGCAGAAGTACCGGATCGGAATGATAGTTACACCATTCGAAATCCCTAGAAACGGCGAGTTTGCAATAATTTTGACAATTGTGTTTTTGTATAAACGTGCCATTCTAGAGCGCATTTAAAAATATTTAAAAACGGGCTCTGAATGTAATTAACGGCTACTTCCGGTCATTTTCCTTGAAGAAATTGAGGTAAATATGCGACCGCGAAAATCGGAAAATTTTATGAAATGGCTCGTAAAATAGCGCGTTTCAATAAAAACATACTCGCCGTTTCAAGCGCTTTCGAATGGTGTAACTATCGTCCCGATTCTACATTTCTTCGTCGAGTTAGAAGGGGTGTTTTTTATTGGGACGCCCTGTAGTAGTTGAGTGGCAGAAGTGGTGAACAGTGGACGTGAAAAACCGTGGGTGCGGGTGGGTGGGTTATTCGTGGTGCTCGAGTGGGGTAGGCTCGATCGTTGCCTGAAAAAAGGCTTACTAGGGAGGTATCTGAACTCGGCATCGAACTTTGAAAAGTCAGATACACCATTCGACGCGCCTTGTCGAGGGGATTCCAAATATGTAATAAAATCAACCAGAGCCTATAACGATAAAAAGTTATGAGCATTTTAAGTTTTGCAGCGAAAACCGCCGCGGCGATATGAGCCCCTCCCAGCGCACCCTTTTCATCGGCCCCGTGGCCTAGTGGTGTGCGCATGGGTCTCCGGTCTGTACGACCAGGGTTCGGATCCACTCACGATTTTTATTTTTTGCTTTTTGACCAGTTCCTACTTTTTGCATTTCCAAACTCGGGAATAAGTTTTTCTTGACTATGTGACCCCTAAAAGGCACCAGCGATGATGAAATAACCTCGGGCTACAAGACCAGGATTGGACGATCTCTATATCAAAGTTGGCAAAATCATCAAAAACCGCCCTTTTAGGACTCTGTACGAAGTTGAAGAATGTAATTTGTCGAAAATAGAACAGTACATCTTGATCAGCAGAAAATTCCCTTTCGAATGAGCTATCTTACATAGGCTTTACGCGAAATTCTCGAAACGTCTTCGGCAAGCTAGCCATACCCTACCCTTACTCCGCATTCGAAAAATATTTTTTACGGAAATTTTTGGCAGCCGTATGTAACATAGCTCATTTGAAAGAGCTTTCTTTGTTGAATAAGGAGCACTAATCAGTTTAGACTAAATTCCATTCCGCGGGATGATACAGGGTCTTAAAGATACTGTTTTTCATCATTTTTTCGACTTCGAATGCTCATAACTTTTTACGGTTCTACGCTCTGGTTGATTTTATTAGATATTTGGAATCCCCTCGACAAGGCGCGTCGAATGGTGTATCTGACTTCTCAAGGTTCGATGCCGAGTTCAGATACCTCCCTAGTTAGGTTCCCGCTTGGAAAGAGGCTTGGATCTTCGAAAAGATCTGCTAACAGGCCATCGAAATTTAATAACGTCGGAGTATCATAGCTCGAAAATCGAAACTATCAAATTTTTTGAGGGGGTCGGCTCCTTTGCCGGCCATTTTTTCAAGAACTAAACAAAACAGAGAAGATATAAAGCATCCTATAAATTCCCTATGCGAAAATCTTCAAAATCTGTTACCTCTCCCACGACATTGAAGCCATTTTCGGCTGAATGCACAGCCGAGGCCTTGAAGACTCGCAGCGGGGTGTCGTCGGTGGCCGGCGTCTGGAAGGAGCGGTTTAGGGTCTTACAAAACTTCGAAATCTTAAGCTTAAGCCAAGCCTAAGCCTAAGCCCAAGCCAAACCTAAGCATAAGCCAGGCTTAAGCAAGGCCTAATCAAAGCCTAAGCCTATTCTTGAAGAAACCACCAACCTTGCTCGTCTCGAAGGTGAACCCATTCCGATTGCTGTCAGCGATCACATGGTCGAATGTTGGGAAGCTAGGCGAGTCGCGAACTAAAAATCAGCAGCAAATCTTGAGCACTTTTTAGGGTTGAAACCTATGCTTCTAGAAAAGGAGGGTTCTGGCGTGGACAGGGCTCAAACCAGCGTCTTTCCGGTGAAAACAGAATGCCAAAACTCACTAGTGATGCCATAAATCGAGCCGCTCACATTCAAATAGGTAAAACTGGATGGCGCTTCTGTAACAAGCGCTTGAAAACGGTTTTTGTAAAATGTGAACCTGTGCTCGAGACGATCACCCCCAACCAGGGTCCCGCTTCGGCCGCCTCAAGATACACCGGTTGTTCGAGGCTGCCTTTTATGTACAAAGTCCCTGAAACGGTGTCGTCAAACTGGTCATCTTCCTGAAAAGAATCTTAGCTGTTCGCTACAAACCGTAAACAAGGATGCCCGTGTTTGGGGCGAAGGTGATCCGGACGCCCGGCTCGACGTCAAAGCGCTGCCCCCGGGCAACGGTGATATTTTCGTCGATGCGGTACGGGCTGTCGGACAGGGAATAGATCTTGTCGGGTGTTTGGTCGGCTGCCCTGCAATGGAAGTAGTAGATGTACATACAACGGTAATCTACAAACCTTTTTGTCCTCGTCTTCACGGGGCCGGTTTCTTGGGCCCTTAGTGGGAAGGGAGCCCGATGTCGTCGGTGCCGTCGTGGCGCTTGGCATGATATGTTTCTGAAGGAAATTACGGACTTGAGAGTGAAAGCGAGATAGAGCCAGTGAGAGAGAGAGTGAGAGGAGAGAGAAAGCGAGAGAGAGAGAGAGAGAGAGCGAGAGAGAGAGGGAGGGAGAGGAGAGAGAACGAGATAGAGAGAGGGGGAGGATAAAGTGAGAGAGTGAGCGCGAGAGAGCGAGCGAAAGCTAAGGAGAGCGAGTGAGAGAGTGAGACAGAGCGAGAGACTGAGTGATGAGAGGGAGTCAAAAAGAACAAATTCTCACTGATATGTCTCCGGGAAACAGGGCTCCACTTGCAGATCCACCACAGACACTGGGAGCCGCGAGGCCACGTTCAGCTGCTTGACGACGATTTGTTGCTAAAAATCTAGTTTAAGCCGGGTACTCGATACATACCTTAAGGAAGAACCTGGCCTCCTTGTTGTTATAGTGCGCCACGCGCCATTGTTCATTTTCGCACGGTGAGTAGAGGAGATCACTAAGCAAAAGTTACTGATGATTGTGCAAATTTCGACTGACATCTCCTCAGCTCCTGTCAGCGGGACAAGACAGTGTATCGAGACGGCACGTATGCATGTCTGCTCGGTGAAGGTGACCTTCGTGAAGTGACCCGGGTAGGGGTCTCCTGAAATCGGAATTTCTGGGAATATCAAGGTTTCATAATTTTTTTTGCAACTTGCTGGCCTCGAGAAAAGTGGGGTCAAGCGTTCCCAAAGATTTTTGTAAAACATCTGGTACTGGATGGTACTTATGAATTTCGGCATTATGATTTTCGACATTATGATAACAAATCATACCAGGTTCTTTCGCATTATCGGGGGGAGCAACAACTTTTTTTCTAGGATCCAATCTAATCGATCTGAATCCGGCGGACCAAATTTTTTTAGCATCTAATCCTATCCTATAAGCGAGAAAAGTATGTGTGTTTTCTGTACAGCCGATTTCTCGGCCGTCAGGCCGAATTTCGAGCTGATTTTTGGCACGGAGGTGGAGAAACACATTTGTCAGTGATGCATTTTTTGTTTTGCGAAATTCCTTCATTTGACGATTTTACAACCAAAATAGTGAAAAATCCTTAACATTTCGTTGAAAAAAAGGTATGTCCGGAGGTTTTCTCGGCCGCTAAGAGGGGCTGGGCTCTGATTTTTGGAGGATGAGTGGTAAAAGCAATTCTCCCAATACTATTTTTTGGATTTTGCCAAATTACTTAAAATAAAGTTTTTATGAACGATTTACTAAAAGGCCCTTAATAAAATGGCCACAGTCCCGTGGTGTCCGGGCCATAACTCGAATCCCAGATGGAATTTTGGTCTGTAATTTGGTCCACTTATGTATTCGATAGTGGCGATCACGCGCATCTTATTTTTATAAATTTTCGGGCGCATTCAGACTCAAAAAGAGAATTTTGTAAAGTTATCAGAATTTCTCTCTCCCGGGATGAGACGCGCCCCCAGGGTAGAAGAGGCCTTTCCCGCTGTCAATCGCCGCGTCCCCTTGGTGTATTGGATTGGCGCCCGTTCTAACAAACGCGTGGTCAGGGTTCGAATCCGCCGGGAATTTAACTTTTTGCTTTTTAGTAGTTCAACAACAAAACATATTTCTAGGCTCTGTGTGCGAGTTTTAGGACCGGGCCCTGGCTCTAACGCCGGAGGCCAAAGAAATGGTACTTGGCCCAGGCTCTGGCGCCGCAGGCCAACGATGGTTCCTTGACCCAGGCTCTCGCGCCGCAGGCCAAATCCTGGAGAAAACCCAGTAGCTAGCGCCGCAGGCTCAAAGATTCTGGCCCAGCGCTGGCTCTGGCGCCGCAGGCCAAAGAATGGTTCCTTGAGTCAGGCTCTTGCGCCGCAGGCTTCGATAAAAGGAAAGGGAATTCATGATTCCTAGACGGGGTCCAGTGGAAAAGGGCCGCGAAGCGGTCTTTTTCCACTGGTTTTTTAAATATACATGGTGAAGTGTTTCTAAATGGTATTTTTACTATCCTTAAACGTGAAAAATTTACAAATTTTTCCTAAAAACTATAAAGTTACTAGGCATTTCTAGACTTACACAAAAAAGGTCCCCCCCCCCCCGATAATGCGAAAGAACCGCCTGAGACTTCATGGGCCCCAGGCTGGCGATGAAAAACAAGGGCCCATGCTTGTCTCCTCCCGCTCCCGCCAATGGAATAGGCATACAACAAAAAGGGGGGTGTCGTTGGGCGGAAATGGATTCCGATGTTCTATGCAAAAAATTCGGTATTATGAATTGCGGAATTCTGAAAATGTAAATTATGAATTTCGATATTCTGAAGGTTCGACAATTTGAAAGTAGTCCCTTCGGAAGAAAAGCAGCGCGAAACATCCAAACTTATGCTTGAAAAACCCACTGCCTTCAATCTGAATGTTCCGGTGTCCGGTTTCGACCCGCAAGAAGGAGGCGAGGGCTCCTAAAATGCCGGTGATTTGGTCGTAACCGTAATAGCAGTGTTATGCCCCTCAAAAACTCACCGCCAATACAGTAAACCAGCAGTCTAAGGAGCATCTCCCGCGCACATTTCTGCAACGAAAACTTGTACATCTTCAAGGTTATGACTGGTAGGTGAGTGGCAGTTTGAGAATGAGGAGAAGAGGGTAGGCAGGGGATTAATTCCGAAATTCCTTTCCGAAAGTTGAGGGAAGTTATAATCGCGTGTAAATCCAGGGGCCTTGGAAGGCAACGATCGTGCTCAATACCTTGCGCCAATGAGATAGAAAACTGGCAACAAATAGAGGAAATTTTGACGGTTCTTTTGCATTATCGGGGGTACACTTTTTTCTAAGTATCCAATTTTTCCATTATAACTGGGTACTTTTAAATTTTTTCATATTACTAAACATGAAGGTTTTGCACATCTTTCTTACGAAAAACAAAGTTATATCGATTTTTCGAGCAAAAATAGCCGTCTTTGACCAAAATTTGGAATTTTTGGGATTTTTAGATCGTTTTCCAGTTAAAATCTAGTTTGATTTTACTAAAAACGCTATTGAAATACCCCCTATGATAATATATAGAAAAATCCCCCCGCTAAACGACAAGTCCAGGTAAGCATGCCGATGAATCAAAAAAGACACAGATTTAATCGATGTTCTACAGCGTTCCCACACGCCCCTTAGGCTTATGCTTCGCGGAAACCACCTGGGTGGGGGAGCAATTTGGCCCTGCTCGCCGCGTGGAGGTGAGAAAAATGGGTGTTGGCCGGTGGTGGAGGGCCTTGCGACCCGGCTTTGAATAGGGAATGATGGTCGAGACATTCGGCGAGGGCCAAAAAGAGGGCCACAATCCTCAGGTGGCACCGCCTCACTAACCCTTATGGCCCAATGCCCACAAATAGGCCCTCCAGAAAAAGCAAGCGCACGGCGTCTCCTTAACGCATTTGAGGAGGGGTAAATGAGAGGCAAGTCCTTAGCCTAAGCCTATCCTAAGCCTAACCTAGACCGAAGCCTAAGCTTAAGCGCCAGTATCAGCCTAAGCCTAAGCCTAAGCCCAAGCCAAGCTCAACCCTAACAAGGGTTGTAGTAATAGTAATGGTAAGTCTAATCCTAAGCTCAACCCAGGTCTAAGCCTTAGCCTAAGCCTAAGCCTAAAACCTAAGTCTAACCCTTCACCGAGCCCAAGCCTAAGCCTAAGCCTACGCCACTCCTAAGCCTAATCCTAAGCCCAAGCCCAAGCTAAGCCTGAGCCTGAGCCCGAGCCTAAGCCTAAGCATTAATAGTCAGCTATTTTAATAGATCCTGATGTGATACTTCTATACTTTGTAGATAAGCTCAGGGTAAAACCACTAGAGTCGTTCGAAAAGCAACCAAAACAAGGGCCCCAGGGGAGCCGGAGCCGGCTGGTGTGATGGGGTTAAGGGGGTAACGCTAGAAAAAGCGCAAGTTTGTAACTGAGAGGGAGAGAGAGGGTGAGAGAGAGTGGGAGAGAGGGACAAAGCGACTTTTTCAGAAAAAAGTTTTTAACGCGTCAAGGTATTCTAATTCTAAGCAAATTGTCAGCAGCCCATCCAAGACGAAAAATTATGGGAGAAATTTTGATTTACTTCGAAATATCCTCCCGGATGAGAGCTAGAAAGAGCGAGAGAGCGAGAGAGAGAGAGACAGAGAGAGACAGATAGAGCGAGAGACAGGGAGCGTTAAAAAATGAGAGTTTCGAGCAACAGAACCCAGTACTCGTAGCGTTTGTGGGGGTGTATTGTTGCCATCTAGGGGCCCTGGTTGCGCCCCGTTCAGCAGTAGCAGCCGTTTTCCGGTCGCGGAGAAAGGGCCCACTAGGGCCCACCCGACTGACACTTACAAATGGGCCCCCGGTCCACCACCAAACATTCACGCCAGGCAAAAGGGTTGTGCTACGGAACGTCAGAGATGGTGTAGTATTTGGTACTGGACTGTTAGCAGGGGGGAACTCGGAGAGAGAGAGAGAGAGAGAGAGAGAGAGAGGGGGGGGGAGAGAGAGAGAGAGAGAGAGAGAGGGCGAGAGAGAGCGGGAGCGAGATGGAGATAATGGCCTACGAAATTTTACAAGTTTTGAGATTCTGGAAATTCTGGCTTTTTGGCAAAACCCATGTTGGGCATTCGAGCCTTGCCTAGGCAGGGCGAATTAGCGGCTAATGCCGGGGGGTGAAGCTGAAGAAGGCGAATCCAGGGTCTGACATCCGGGAAGGGCAGACGGGGAGTGGGATGTCCAAGTCTCGCCTTTCCTCCATCTAATTGGGCACCGAGGGCGAGAGGGTTGTGGCCGAGAAAGATGGGAATGCCCTGATTTATCTGGGGAGCACCACAAATGAGACGTCCAAGCCGTAGCGCGGGGAAATCGGGCGCTACTTAAAACACAAAAACGGCAAAGTAAGTCTGAGAATAAGCCTAAGACTAAGCGAAGCCCAGGCTTCTCAATAAACCTTATACCATCCCAAAACGTCCTAAAGCGGCAAAAAAATAGGGGTACTGTCCTGTTAGCAGGGGGGGGAGTAAAAGGATGGGGAAACTAGTTTTTCCCAGTAGTCCTGTACGGTCCTATAACAAAATTACAACTTTCACGGCAATATAGTTTTAGAGATAAAAAGTCCAGAAAAAGCTTATACTTTCCGACAATTTTTGACTTTTTGTACAAAAATATATGAAAAATCACAAAAATGGTCAGAATTTTCAAATTTTCGAAATTATTTAAATATATGTAATATTTTGCAATCAAAAACTACTAAGAACATTATAAAATGCACTATTTATTACTAACAGGCTTTATTAACTTCGACTTGGGCTGGACCGCATTTGAGGGGGCACGCGATTCCTGAGAAATGGCAAGGAAATCCCCCGCTCTAACCAGCCGACCCCAGCGGCTAAAGCCTTATTAGAAATTTTTAGGCGTCAACCCGAAGAGGGGGGTCGCGAGATAGGAAGCAGATGAAAGGGTGTGATGGGAGCAGAGAGTCTCCCTCTCCTCCTCATCCTCCTCCCCATCTCCTACTTTTCCACCCCGTGGCCGTCGCTATGAATAAATTATGGAGGGAGTGGATGGAGAGCGCCATATTTGGGCCTCACCCCTAGGGGGGGCACTCAACGGACACGCTTTTACGGGCATAAACTCTCAATCATGGCTCCTGAGTGAATGGACAACGTGGAGAGGGAGTGCGGCTGGGCTTTAAACGATGGCATCAACAAAAACAACAACAGAAAAATAATAAAATCATGAAAAACGCCGAAACGCTGAAGCGTAAACGTGAAAAACTACTGAGCCTCAAGATAAATATTTTTAGATGCATTTTAGGGAGTATTTTAATTTTGTCGAGAATCATTTTGTCGAAATATCAGTGTGTCGAAATTTCAATGCCTTTCGACCTTTTGCCCTCGATTATTATCTCAGCATTCGGCAAATTTAAATTTCAGTGCATTAAATTTTGACAAAAATGTTTTTAGACAAAATCACGGTGCTAATGCAGTTCGAAATCCCAGTTGGAGTAAGAGGTTACGAGGCGCTGCGCTAGAGCTACTTGGTTTCAGGCTTAGGCTTAGCTTAGCTTTAAAAAACGATTAAAATTAGAAGAGGCTTAGAATCAAAAAAACCGTGTTTGGAGCGTCTTGTAGTCAAAATCTGGACTGCCCCCTGCCCCTAATTGCATTAGAACCAAAATCATTTTTGGAAAGAATTTTACAGAGATGACGTCGTCAAAAACTAAAGGTCTTAGACGACGCTGAATAAACTCTAAAAGTGGCCAAGCGCCCCGGCGCCCCGGACAAGTGTCGATAATTCCACCATCCTTCCGAGGTTTTCAAATGCGCCTGGGCATCCCTTTCACGCCTACTTCCTGCCGTGGAATCAACTTTAGAACCCCCGAATAGAGGATCAACCGAAAACTCCGGTTCACGGCAAATCCCCGATTTCCGGTCGAACCGGCACCGCCGGCAGAATCAGCCCCTCCAAATTTTAAAGGCTTAGTCCTGCCAAATTTGAAAAAGGCATCATTGTTTTCCCGGGCGGCGTTAATGGAAATGATTGTGGCCAGGCCAGTAAACGGGTGGTAGCCTTGGCTGCTTGAGAAATTGAGGGCCATCCTGGCTAGCGAGGCCCACGTGAAATGGCACGGAAGTCGTCCATGACGGGCTTCATCGCCCTCAAAAACGCACTCGCCAATCGGCCCCGGATTTCCAATATGGGAAGTTTGATGAATTCGGGCTTGTAAGGTTTTCG